CTGTAATCCCAGGTCCTCAGGAGGCTGACGCAGGAGAATCACTTGAACCAGGGAGTCGGAGGTTGCAGTGAGCCGAGATTGCGCCACTGCACTCCAACCTGGCGACAGAACAAGGCTCCGTCTCAAAAAAACAAAAAAAAAAACAAAAAAAATCTAGTAAATGAAATAAGTGATCAGGACAAAACTGGCTTCTCATCAATAAATCAATCAATGGCGCTTATGAAGTATTCATACGCCTGCGTCTTCTTCTAGACTACACTAGGGGCTGGTTAACGCTCCTGTGTGCAACAGAACCTCAAACACATCATAACACACCTTTGGAGAATCCTTACAAGAATGCCAAGTTAACAATTATCTCTCACCACACTACCTCAGCAAAAAACCAAGAAGAAACATAAAATATTCTTCAACCCTTTTCAGGGACAGAAAGCATCATTTCAAAAGTCCAAGAAGGGGAGGTAAGAATTTCAAAAGTGAAAGTTATCATGAAAGGCTATAAAAGCTAGAGATGAGTCTGAAAAACAAATGGAAAATGAGTCACTTCATGGCCTCTCCCAGCCTCAAAGCCAATTAATTATTACATTAGTAAGAGTAATTTTTAACCTTCCAATCCACTCACCCTAGCCACAGGCAACAGTAGCCTCTCCAAGTGTTGTGGGTTTTTTTTGCAGGCAAGTGAGCTTTTCACATGGCAGCCCCTTAGCATTGGATGTGGACCTGCCCTGTCTTTCACCAAGAAGCAAGCACTGTGCAGATCACTGAGTCATAAAAACCAACTGCTCTTACCAGCCTCCTCTTCCTCTACAGCAAAACTTCTAACCTGAGACATGGAAGCATGTAGAGGACTACGTGCTGGCAAACCAGGCGTTCCCGATAAGTCCTGCTCTTGCAAACGAAGCAGGGTGTTCCTTCCCTGTAAACAGGGAGGACAAAGGAGCCAGCTGCAAACAGCAGACCCTGGAGGCTTGTTTATGTGTAAATATCTTGAAAATCCAGAAAGTCAGGGAAAGGTCAGAAAAACAACAATGTGTCTTGTAACTTGGCAACATTCCACAAACTGTATAAAATAAAGCAGAGCCCGCCATTCGAGGCAGCCCCATGTTTGTCTTGTCTTGTGTTGTCTTGTGTGTTCATTCCTTTGTTTAGGAAACACGCCAACAGAAGCAGATAAAAAGCCTCTACGTAAAATGTATCACTACAGCTAGAGGGCAGTTTTGCCTTTCTTCCATTCAATTACTCAGTCTCTCATGTTCCTAAATGCCAGCCCAGAACCATGGAACCTGAAGAAACACAAAACGCACTCCTCTGCATCAGTGAATTGATTGTGTGGTGGAGATATAAGTCTGCATGTGACTGACAGGTCCCCAACGTGGTGCCAAGTCAATCTAAACTAGAGAGAATTTCCGGCCAGGCCAAGCAGAGATTTCCTGGATGAAGTCTCCCAAAGATTGATTTCCTAAACATTAAACATCACTGGTTTTCCAAAACTGGTTTTCTTTTTTTTTTTTTTTTTTTAACCCTGTTGCCCAGGCTGGAGGGCAAGTAGTGCCATCTCCATTCACTGCAGCCTCGACCTCCCAGCTCCACTGATCTCCCCACCTCAGCCTCCTGAGGAGCTGGGACTACAGGTGTGCATGGCCACGACTGGCTAATTTTTCTACTTTTTGTAGAGACAGGGTTTTGCTGTGTTACTCATGCTGGTTATGCGATCTGCCCACCTGGGCCTCGCAGAGTGCTGGGATTACAGGTGTGAGCCACCACACCCAGCCCACTGGTTTCCTTTACACCCGTTCTTTTCTCCCATCAGTCCTTATGAAAGCACCTGAAACAAGGAACCCCCCCCCCCGACTTGAGAGCTGCAAAGCCTTGAGAGGGAACTTAGTTATTAAAACCCACCCCACACAAAATGCTTCGAAACGCCTTGGCTGACTTAATCCTCGCAATGTGCTGAGGTTAAGTATGATTCTCCATCTCCTGTGAACAGGAAAACTGAGGCTCAGAGGTTAAGTGATTGGCCCACGGTTCACTGCATGGGATAAAACTCGGCTGTCCCTGACAGGTCCCAAAGTCACGGCCTTCAGGCTCCCACATCATGCTGCCTCCCTCACCGGGGCTCCACACTCTCAGCCTGGAAAACATGAATTTTAAGAAAACCATGACTTACGAAAAGCAGCCAGTCCCAGCTTTGGACCCAACAGGGCATAATTCCATCTGCTTCCATCACCACCATCTGCCCTGGAATTAGGCCGGATATTCCAGTTTGGGGGATCATTTAGGTTATTCATGGAGATATACCTTGAAGTAAAGAATAAAAACGTTAACTAGTTTTATTCAAGAAATGTTCTTCAGTTTTAACTATGTGTGCACAGCATTGAGGCCCTATGGGATTCAAAGAAGGAAAAAACAAGACCAGGGTCAGGCGTGGTGGCACACACCTGTAGTCCCAGCTGCTCGGGAGGCTGAGGCAGGAGAATCGCTTGAACCCGGGAGGTGGAGGTTGCAGTGAGCCAAGGTCACACCACTGCACTCCAGCCTGGCGACAGAACGAGACTCCGTCTCAAAAACAAACAAACAAACAAAAAACCCAAGAACTTAGAGGAAAGTGACTCAATCCGGTTGGGGAAAGTGGAGAAAACAGACATGTCTTAAGCATCTGAAGTGCAGGTAGAATCAGGTAAGTTCTCTAGTACAAATATGTTTAAATGTATGGCTGCTGTGATGGTTAATTTTGTATGTCAACTTGACGTACCACGAGGTGCTCAGATACATGGTTAAGCATTATTTCTGGGTGTGTCTCTAAGGGAGTTTTTGGATGAGATTAGCATTTGAACCTTTAAACCAATTTCTTACATCTCTCCCCTCTATTGGTTGTTTCTCTGGAGAACCTCATACAGTTGTATCAAAGATACAGAATCAATTCGAAAGAAGTGGGCTCACACCAGACACTTCCTATGAGCTAGGGTTTGAAGAGTGAGCAGCATTCTGACAGGCAGAGAAAGAAGGAAAGGGTCTTCTCATCAGGAGGAAGACTGTGAGGAAGGCAGGGAGGGGTGATGTGGTGGGGAAGGTGCAAACAGTGCTAGAAGCTTCTCAGGCCTCCTGGTGTGGTGGTGATGAATGCAGAGATGACAGAGCTCTCTGCCTCAGGCTCAGCATGCACCCTCTATAGCAAGGCTGGGGGGCTAACGTTAATAAGAATTTACTAATTTACTGAGTACCTACACGAGGTTGCACGTTTTCACAAAGTAGAGTCACTTTAAATTTGTTTACATGTGACCTCCGCAAATACACACGATTATAAAATAGTCAAGGGATGTATAATAAACAAGAAATCCAATCCAATTTCTGAAAACTTTTCATGGGATTTTCAACAAATACTTAACATCTAAAGATAGAAAATTATGATAAGCAATAAAGGTATGACAAAAATATGTCTCGGAGCTTAATACTAAGGGATTTGTGGTAATTATAGAATTAAAAAATTAAGGCCAGGCGCGGTGGCTCACCCCTGTAATCGCAGCACTTTGGGAGGCTGAGGCAGGTGGATCACCTGAGGTCAGGAGTTTGAAACCAGCCTGGCCAATATGGTGAAACCCCGTCTCTACTAAAAATACAAAAATTAGCTGGGCGTGGTGGGGGTGGCCTGTAGTCCTAGCTACTTGGGAGGCTGAGGCGGGAGAATCTCTCTTTTTTTTTAGACGGAGTCTTGCTCTGTTGCCCAGGCTGGAGGGCAGTGGTGTGATCTTGGCTGTCCGCGGGAAAATCTCTTGAACCCTGGAGGCGGAGGTTGCAGTGAGCTGAGATCGCACCATTGCACTCCAGCTTGGGCAACAAGAGCGAAACTCCATTTCAGACAAAACAAAACAAAATTAGATAGATAACTAACCCAGCACCAAAACTGCATAACTAAAAAAAATGTCTAGGAGGTACTATGTCCATTCCCTGCAAGCCAATAAAGGCCACGTCTGGGGCATACATCCAAGAAAATAATCCTAAAGATGAAGTTACGGTCACAAATATGTTCTGTACGGTGTTATTTATTAAGAGTAAAAATGGGAAACAACCCAAATATCAATAAAATGGGACTGAACCATTGCAAATTTACTAAAATAACTCAACATTGTTAAACATCTCGCATAAGAGAAAGATTTTAATAATTTAAAGTGAAAAAACAGGAAACAAAATTACTAATGATTATTGGTTTATTTTTCATGCCACTTCATTCCACAAAAAGATTTCAGATATCTTACAAAAAGACACACTAGAAATATTAAAATACTCTCTGAACCTTAAGCAAAATCAGGGTAAGCTAGCAGAAAGGCGTATAAGCCAAAGGGATCTACGCATCTTTAAAAGCTGACCACGGCCCTGCGCGGTGGCTCCGCCCCTAATCCCCGCACTTGGGGAGGCCGAGGAGGGAGGATCGCTTGAGGCCAAGAGTTTGAGACCAGCCCGGGCAACACAGCAAGATCCCGCCACTGCAAAAAATTTAAAAATTAGCCGGAAGCCAGAAGCTAGGGACATGGCTGAGGATCGCTCCCGCCCCTCGGAGGCCGGAGACCGAGGGTCACTCCCGCTCAGTAGAGGCCGGAGGCCCCGGGTCGCTCCCGCCCACCTCCGCGGGCGAGCGCAGCCCCTCCGACCCCATTCCCTGTGGTCTGGACGTTCAGGTGCCCTCTGTCTGGGCGATCCCGCAGAACCACCCATGGCGTTTTAAAAATGTTAGTGCCCAACACCTCCCCAAAATAGGGCCCGCTCTACCTCGGTCGGGGAGCCCAGGACCTCCGCGTCCCTCGCAACGCCTCCGTCCGTGAGTCCCCTTTGCGCAGGCGCGGCGCCCCCACTCAGCCCCCGCCCGGGCGTGACGTAGTGCGCAGGCGCGATGTCCCCCACTACCGCCCCGCTCGACCCCGGCGTGGTGCGCAGGCGCGATATCCCCCTAGCGCGACCCCGGCGTGGTGCGCAGGCGCAGTCTGCGCAGGGACTGGCGGGGCTGCGTGGCGGCGTCAACAGTCATGTCGGGGGTCCGGAGACTGTCGGGGCTGCTGAGCACTCGGCGCCTGGCGCTGGCCAAGGCGGTCAGCCCGTACCGCGGACCGGGGCGGGACAGGCGGGGGCCGAGGCGGCGGTAGGAGCGGGATGGTCCCCAGCGGGTGCGAGCGGAGCGGGCGCCGGGTCCCCGCGCCCCCTGTCCCGGGATCGGGAAGGGTCTGGGAGAGCCCTGGGCCGGTGCGAGGGGGAGCCGCGGGGCGCACTCGGGGAACCGGGGAGCTGGGTCCTTAGCAGGTAGTCCGCGTCCCGGTGTAGGTCACGACCCCGCGGGCTTGCTGGTCGTCCCCTCTGCCGCCTTGGTCCGGGCCTGGGTCCGGGAACTCCGCGGGCTGAGGTGGCCCCTCGCCTCAGTGCCTGGCGGGTGGACTCGGGGAGGAGTCGTGTCTGCCCAAGGTCACTCGGGCGGATAGCGGCCGGTGGCCGCCCTCTGTGCGGGTTGTCCCGAGGGGCCGCCCGCAGCCCGTGGGTGTGGCGGGCGGGGCGGGTGAAACCGCCCGGGTGGGTGCGAGGAGTGGCCGGGCTCGGCCAGTGGGCGGCCGGTGGGAAGAGCTGCGCGCCCGAGCTTGGGCTTGCAGTTCCGCTTTCCAGAAAAGCGCAAATCTGTGCGTGTCCACTTCGCGACCTTGTAAGTTAAGGGTGTCAACTTTGGGTCGTGTTTGGTGGCCCTTGTGCCACTGAAAATGTGTCGGTGTTTACAAGCAGCTGTGCCAGTTTTTAAAAATCAGACGGAGAGCTCAGCGCACTGACCGGGCGAGGACGCGGGACCGGTGCTTGCCTGTGCTCGGCTTAGTCCAGGATGACGGTCAGGGTTATGCTTCCCTGAGCCCTCGCTCTCTGAGTTTGTCTGAATGTGCCCTCCACGATTGCATCTTCAGAATCGGCCTTCTAGGGTTTTAGTTCATCAAGCTGAATTGGATAGGTTTCGTTGCTTGGTTCTTTTGAATGAACTTACCCACCCACCTCCTTAGTTACGAAGTAATTTTAAATTGCAGAGTAAAAATGTCAATAGGAACCAAGGCATTCAGCAATATTGATTTGAATTATGCCTGTAATTGTGCAATTTTCTCCTTTTTGAAATAGTTATTAAAAACGTCGTTGAATTAAATGTGAAGATTAGTCATACAGCCATCCTGTCACATCAGAAAGCATGTAAACGTTCTAGTGTGTTGCTGTGATTGGTGCTGACTGAGCAGAGATCCCTGCCGCATCTTGGGCTTTTAAGAGCTGCTTGGAGGGCGTCCACAGGCAGGAAGTAAAGCCCATGGTCAGTGGGACTTTTTAGGGGAAATGTTGGCTTGTGATTGGAGAAAAGCTAGGGCTGGTGCCTTTGCCCTCAACCCAGATAGTGCCCAGTGTTCCTTCTGCAGCCTAAGACCCCGCCAGCGGCGGAGGCACCTCAGACAAGATGGCAAGATAGCAAAATGGAACCAAAATTTAGTCTTGGGTTTTGTAAAAGTCTTTTTATCTTGAAGTTAGCGTTTCCTACAGAAATTCTGCCTGCAAGCAGTATATTTATCGGCATTTCAGAGAGGTTTTTTTTTTTCCTGAAGAATTGGAGTTTACAAAGTAACAACATAATCAGATTAGCAGAAAAAAAGAAATTAATGATAGCCAACTGAGAAATGTGTTTGGAAAATAGATGCTGAGGATAATTTTAGTGAAGTCCAGAGAGAATTTTTTAATCTTATTTTGGCCAGTTCTGTGGTGTATTGCTCATTCTGTATTTACAGCTGCTTTCAAGTGACGAGCTTATCAGACTTAGTTTTTGGTTTCTTTTTATGTCCCGGTGCACTGACACAGCTTGCAAACTGTTCCAAAGCAGTTTAATCAGAGGAAAAGTAAAACCAAGAAACTTAAATAGTTACTGGGTTAACTGCTTACTTCAGGTGAAGTTTTTCAAATCCGTGAGCATGAACATCAAATATATTGTTCTAAGACAAATTGATTTCATTTCTTTGAATGGTTTGTTCTGCATATGTTTAATGGTGTTCTAGAAATACATTATTTAGGCCATTATAGTAGTAAACATTTGCTTTGCTTCTTGGGATAATTGTAACAACAATGGCATTCCATTCTGCATTCTTCATGATGTTTTTCCTGATTTATTTGAAAAATCGTGACTTGGTTTTGATATGAAACCTGGATATTAATATTAGTTGGGAGTCTCAGAGATTTTTCCCAAGGGTCTTTAGATAGGGACCAAGTCCAGGATCCAGAGGCAGCCGGCCTACTTGAATCCTCTCTGAGGTTCCGTCTTTCTGTGGGGTTAGTGGGGATTCTGTGGGTAATGTTTGAAACCTTTGGTGGTGCTCTTGTGAACCAGGGCTCACAGCCTGTGCACAGTAGCCATGTGTGAATTGTATTTTAAGTATCCCTGTTTTTAAAATAATAAACACTGACGTTCTAGTGAGAATAATTACATGTAGTTGTAAAAGAATCAGTGAGTATACCACCGCCCCCAGTTCATTTTCCATGAAAGCAATTCCTGTTTCTGATATTGACTCCTGGTGTTTGTAAGACCTCTGTTTCTTTAGCGGATATGCAGGTTGTGCAGGTGCATTTTTATCAGTTTTAGACTTCTTGCCTGGAGAGGGGATTTAGTTCACTTAAACTACCCTACTTCCGCTTCTTCCTGATACGGTCATGCGTGTTTAGGTTCTTCGCTGGCTGCTTTTGTGATTGTATGGGTTGTACATGCAGATTAGTTTGTTTCTCATGATTTATAGTTGCATTTGATTAGATGAGGACCCCTCACTTTGCTAGATTTCGGGATTAATGTCTCTGCACTTCTTTTCCCCCTCCACCTCCTAATTCAGTCGTCTGAAATTCTATATTGTTAAGCAAAGTCTAATATTCCTTTTATATGTTCCCCATTTTTTTCTTAGAGGAAATGTTTGATAGTTTCTCCTAAAAAAATTAATAATTGGCACACAAGACTAGTCTTGTGTCAAAACTAGTTTTCAGTTTTATCTAAAGACTGAAATTGGCTTAAAGTTGGGCTTTCACATTCAAAACTCTGCCCCAGATTAGATTTAGACGCAGAGGGTGAGTGTCCTTGTCCCCAAGGGGATGGCGTGATAATTTGTTCACAGTTGTGTTATGGGAGCTGCCCCTTTTAAGCTGGCTCTGTGTGTGTGTGACTGGGGGTGGGCAGTGGGCATTCCACGTCAGCATCCTAGAAAGAACAAATCAACATTTAGTGATCTCACTGTTTCTACTTACAGTTGGTGTAATACACTGTTGTTATTGGTGCTGTTACCTGTGTTAATAGGGCAGTTTACAAAAGTTTCAAGAACATTTGTATTAAGATTATTTCAAAGACTTATTTCTTAAAATATGATTTTACCATGACAAAAATTATGTTAAAGTAGAATATTTGTTTTTTCTCGTTTATTTTCTGAAAAAAGAAAAAACTGAATTAGCTTATGTCAATAAAAACAGAGACTAGAAATTGGAGAAATGGAGAATAATTTTTTATTCCACATAACAAGTAATTTCTGAATTGCAAGTATTTCTAAATACTCGAAGACATCCCTCACATCCCCTCTTCTGATTGCTGAGTGTATTATTTCCTAAAGCTTTTTTTTTTTTTCTTTTCTTTTTTTTTTGGAGACGTCTCGCTCTGCTGCCCAGGCTGGAGTGCAATGGCAGAGTCTAGGCTCACTGCAACCTCTGCCTCCTGGGTTCAAGCGATTCTCCTGCCTCAGCCTCCCAAGTAGCTGGGATTACAGGTGCCCACCACCATGCCCGGCTAATTTTTAGTAGAGACAGGGTTTCGCCATGTTGGCCAGACTGGTCTTGAACTCCTGACTTCAGGTGATCCACCCACCTTGGCCTCCCAAAATGCTGGGATTACAGGCAGGAGCCACCGCGCCCAGCCCCTAAAACTATTCTGTATGATATTTCTGAGACTATTCAGTGGTCTTCTAAAATGCACCCAGCAGAATGGAAAATGTATCCTCTAAATGACTGGCCAACCTTAGCGTATGGACAGTGTCACCTCTCACACACAGCCGCTAAAAACTAAACGCTAAAACCAGGTTTCTAAGATGGAAAATTTAGGCAGCAAGATGTATCAAGTTGTAGACATTGGCCAGGAAAAAGCCAGGAGCAGCCAGGCAGGGGAGAGTGTGCATCCAGCATCCTCCTGTGTGATGAAGGGATGACACCTCCTCCCTCTGGGCTGTCAGCTTTTACTGCTCCAGAATACAGATCTCCTGATTCAGTGTCCAGTGCCTTTTGAACTGACCGCAAGCCCTCATGGACGACTGGAACTGTAATGTGGAAAGGGCTATGCTGGAGCCAGTTAAAATGCTTCATTATTTGCTAAATACCACATACAGTAATACGATATAGGTGTCTTCCCCATCTCCACTAAGTAGATAAATTAAGACTTTACAGAGGAAGTGTGCCTTTTTCATGTGGCATCTGAGTCCGTGAGTGTCCTGTTTGGAAACAGGCGTCATCCTGGTTTTCTAGAGTGCTGAGTCGGGACGGAAAGGAGGACCGGGGGCTCCATCCTTCCTCGCCCCTTGGGCTGCCCTTCAGGGTTAAGTGGAGAGTCCCAGCTGAGCTCCCTGGGTGCACAGGAGCACCTGGGTACCTAAGAAGGGGAACAGTTTGCAAGGGGAAGTTTAAATTACTGTCCCCCATAGCATCTGTTCCTTCAGGACACTAACCCTCTGCATCTGCGTCTTCTGTGTCACCAGTAGCCAGCAGTGTTGCAAACAGGAACCCGAGGTTTTCACTTCACTGTTGATGGGAACAAGAGGGCATCTGCTAACGTTTCAGATTCCGTAAGTTCATGCTTTTTGTTCCATATTAAATGATTTTTTTTGGCTTGGGGGTAAGGATCTGTACCAGTTTCTTTTCATATGAGTCATAGACATAAGAGAAAAATTTCTCATAGGTGTCCAATGCATGCTGAAATTATTTTCAGTGTAGTAATACTTAATTGCAAGTACAAACACAAACATAGATGTTAGCATTTTTACTTATATCTCTTAATGTATCTATAAACTAGATCTAAATTTAGATCAAGTAAAGCAATAAAATAAAATGAACAGTATCTGCTGTGATAGATGATAAAATTCCTACTGAAATGAGGACTGTGGGCCACTCAGGTGTGGGTTCCTTGGTATTTGGCGTGCCTGTTCTCTCTGTTGGAAAACTGAAACTTGCTGAGAAGTTCTTTTCTCGTAAGCTCACGATAGCGACTGAATATTCCTTGGCACCTTCTCAGGCATAAGCAGAGGCGTGGCCCTGAAGTAGAGTTGTGGTCCTCAGTCTGATCCATGGGACAGACCCTCTACCATTCATAGAATCTGATTGTCAGTCCCTTCTCCACATGCGAATGTGCCCACTTCTCCCTGCACTGTTCAGGGCTCAGCCCCAGGACAGGATGGAGGCCCTGTGTGCCTAGCAGTTGGTCCTTTTGTCTTTGTCAAGCTCCTTCACTGTAACAAGAGTCTTCGTGGTTGGCATAGTGGAGCACGTGATTGACAGGTGCGTTTTTCTTTTCCAGATTTCTGCTCAGTATCCAGTAGTGGATCATGAATTTGATGCGGTGGTGGTAGGCGCTGGAGGGGCAGGCTTGCGAGCTGCATTTGGCCTTTCTGAGGCAGGGTTTAATACAGCATGTGTTACAAAGCTGTTTCCTACCAGGTCACACACTGTTGCGGCACAGGTAAGAGAAAGGTGCCCCACCGTGCTCCCACTCTGTGCAGGTCCCGCACAGCCTCGCGCTTTCTACCTGGGCAGCCTCCTGCCTCCTCCCCATGCTCCAGCCACATGGCCTCTTGCTGTGCCTTGCTCACTCAGCTCACCCTCTCAGCGGTCTTTCCCTGGAGCCTCTTCCCTGGAGACTTGGAGGGGCTGGAGCCTTGTTGTCACTCCTAGTTGGGACTCCAGTCACACTTGGGTTTTCTTTGACCTTCTCGCCTGCTTCCCTCCCCACCCACCCCCACCGCCCCAACACCTTAAGAAAAGGAGATCATCTAAAGAGGAGGAATCAGAATTTAGGGTGGGGAAGGAAAGGGCAAGGATTTTATTTGTCCCTGTGCTGCTGTCCTCTGGAACTCTCTGAGGAGTAAGATGGTGGTAGGCACACACAGCCAAAGGAAGCAGGGGTACAGGGGAGTGCGACTCTGAGTGTGGAGCTTATTACTTGGCAGGAAGTACTTCTGGTCTTTAACACATGCCCGCAAATGCCATTGGGAAGATTTGTTAATAACATTATCTGGAAAGATTTGTTGAGTACCTTTTCTGTGCCAGATATGTTAGGTAATAAGCATATTACAGGTAGCCTTTCACTCACTGCTCCAGTCAGCCCTTCCTGGAGTTCCCTCTGTCTCCACCACACAGATGAGGAGACTGAGGCTAAGGGATTGAATCACCGGGCGAGTCGGGAGGGTCGTGACCCAGAATCTGTGGGGCCTCGCTGCTCCTCTGCTGAGGTCAGCCCTCACTGGGAGTCACCGTGTGGGGAGTTGGCTTTCTCTGAATCCCCCAGTGGGTGGATTTGGGCCTGGAAGACAAAGCTGGGGCTCCTGTTTGTGGCTTGTAAGGAGTGGTTGGTGTTTCCAGGGAGGAATCAACGCTGCTCTGGGGAACATGGAGGAGGACAACTGGAGGTGGCATTTCTATGACACCATGAAGGGCTCCGACTGGCTGGGGGACCAGGATGCCATCCACTACATGACAGAGCAGGCTCCCGCCGCCGTGGTCGAGGTGATGGGCGGGAGGCTCTGGGCGCCCTCGTGGTCTGTTTCTAGTCAAAAAGAGTCCTGGGAAGGATGGAAGCAATTGAGGCAGATGTGGCCGGCCGAAAGAATGGTGATGAGCAAAGCTCACAAGAGGAGTCTTTTTCCGTCACGAACTGTGCATTACACGTAACAAGAAGACTTCTCTTTGATGAAGTGTTGACATTTTCATAAAATAGGTTACTTTGGGTTTGCAGATTTGTGTTAAAGTTGTTCAGTGTAGATGAGCTATGAATATCTTGACTCCTTTAAGGTAATAAGGTTTTTGTTTGTTTTTATCTTTCACAGCTGGAAAATTACGGCATGCCGTTTAGCAGAACTGAAGATGGGAAGATTTATCAGCGTGCATTTGGTGGACAGAGCCTCAAGTTTGGAAAGGGCGGGCAGGCCCATCGGTGCTGCTGTGTGGCTGATCGGACCGGCCCCTCACTATTGCACACCTTATATGGAAGGGTAAGGCCGCCCCCGGTCCAGCTGAGACAGGACATGTAGTGCTGGGGCTTATGGTGACAGGGGGGAATGGGTTAACGTGCCCAGTGAGTCCGCCAGAGATTATGTAAAAAGCAACAGAGAACAACGGTGTAGGACATGCAGCAACTGTTGATGTGAAAGGACCAGGCATGTGCTGTGAGAAGCTGTCCCTAAGGCAATATGTTATTTCTTTATCTATTTTGGAAAGTTGAATTGATAATTTTATATACTAGGTTTTTAACTTGGGATATGTGATACTCAAAATATTAGAGCAAGCAGGCCAGGCACAGTGGCTCACATCTGTAATCCCAGCACTTTAGGAGGCCACGGCAGGAGGATCACTTGACACCAGAGGTTTGAGACCAGCCTGGACAACATAGCGAGACCCTGTCTCTACAAAAAGTTTAAAAATTAGCTGGGCATGGTGGTACATGCTTGTAATCCCAGTTACTCAGGAGGCTGAGGCAGGAGGATCACTTGAGACCAGGATCACTTGAAACAGTGACCCATGTTCATACCACTGCACTCCAGCCTGGGCAACAGGAGACCTGTCTCAAAAAAAGAAAAAGAAGTATTTTAAGGCTGTTTTACCACCTCTGAGTTCCTGAATGGGTTGGTTTTGTTTTTTGTTTTGTTTTGTTTTGCTTTGTTTTTGAGACGGAGTCTCACTCTTGTCACACAGGCTGGAGTGCAATGGCGCAATCTCTGCTCACTGCCTAGGTTCAAGCGATTCTCCTGCCTCAGCCTCCTGAATAGCTGGGACTACAGGTGCACGCCACCATGCCTGGCTAATTTTTTGTATTTTAGTAGAGACAGGGTTTCCCATGTTGCCCAGGCTGGTCCCGAACTCCTGAGCTCAGGTAGTCCACCCGCCTCAGCCTCCCAAAGTGCGGGGATTAGAGGCATGAGCCACCACACCCAGCCATGGATTGTTTTAATATTAATTGTTATCACTGGACAAAGACTTGAGGTGACAATAGTTATTGGGTAATCAAGGTCAACTTTGGCATGGCCAAATAATATTCTGAACAGTATTGATTCAGAGTATTCAGTATTCTGAACTTTGTTGTTTTCTGATGAATGGGGACAGACCATTAATTTGCAAGTTGTTAGAACACCAGTGCCTTCTCTGTGGCTGAGTGCATGGACGAGTGTGTGGTGGGAGGAGAAAGCAGCTCCGTCCGGAGCAGGAGCTGTAATGGGGGGAGCTGGCCCAGGCTAACGAGGGCAACTCGCACTGGCTGAGGGAACAGCAGGTCCAGGCGGGCAGCGCTGTCCAGTGCCTACCTTTCTGCAGTGCTGGAATCTGCTTGTCTGCAACCGTCCGTTGGGAGCTGCCAGCTACATGTGGCTGTTGCTAATGTGGCAGGTGTAGCTGAAGAGCTGAACGTTTGATTTATTTTAATTAATTTAGTGGTTGTGTGTTGCCAGCAGCTCCCACCTGGGCTGTGACCCCATGGTCTGTGGACCTCACTCTGGCACCAAACTCTAAGCGGAGCTGCCTGTGGCCACCAGACGGTGTGGAGTGCCTCTTCGGGTTGTGTAGAAATAGGAAATGTGTCACCAAAGTAGGAGCTGTTGCTGCTGCGTTCTCTAGTGCACTGCCTTGTCTGTGCTGCTCGGTGTGGAACGCCTCTCGGGCGCTGACAGCGTCCTTGACTCTGTTGCTGATCTCCTTGGATTTACCTGGTCCATTTGGATCAGGTTCTTTCACCTATTCACACGAGCAAATACCACCTTAAAACCTTACAGGTTGGCTTAACACTTCCTGCCCTTTTTTTCCTTTCTTTTAGTCTCTGCGATACGATACCAGCTATTTTGTGGAGTATTTTGCCTTGGATCTCCTGATGGAGAACGGGGAGTGCCGTGGTGTCATCGCACTGTGCATAGAGGACGGGTCCATCCATCGCATACGAGCAAAGAACACTGTTGTTGCCACAGGGTAGGACTCTAATTTCTACTTCATTTCATTTATAAAAATGAATAACTTTCATTTAGAGTTTCTTTATTTTAATGAAAATAGAGGCATTGTAGAATAACGGTTCAGACACAGGCCTTGATATAACCTTGTGAGGGTGATGGCCTCTCCCAGCCGTGGTTGCTCACCTGTAAAGGGTAAGGACGGGAGCACCTGCCTCAGGCGGCGAGAAAGCATGGCCCTCAGTAGACGGCGGTGGCTGCCGTCAGGTTCACAGCTTACCTCTCCCGATTTTAGATGAGGAAACTGCGGCCCGAAGAGTCCCATGGGGTTTCTGGCAAAATCCCTCTTGTTTTAGTGGGTACTGTGTTAATACTGATTCCTGGGATGGGTAAGTCCTTCTTCTCCACGTAACGAAAATAAGTAACTTTAATTTTATACACTGTCAGTTACTTTAACCATTTTCAAAGTAAAAACTGTCAGTACAGCGAAGGAAAAAATCAGCAAAACTACAGGTTGGGAAAAAATATTTTCCAAACCTTATATCTAATAATATTTTAGTATCTAAAATAGAAAAAAAAAAACCTACTAAAAACAACCTACTAAACCCTACTAAAAAACAACCCTACTAAAAATGGGCAAAGGACTTGAATAGATATTTTTCCAGAGAAGACAAACAAATGGCCAATTGATGTATGAAAAAATGCTCAACATCACTAAGCACCAGAGAAATGCAAATTAAAACCCCAATGAGACATCATCTCATCTCACTCCAGGTAGAATGGCTGTTACCAAGAGGACAAAAGAGAGCAAGTGTTGGTGAGGATGTGGAGAAAAGGGAACCCTGTGTGCTGTTGGGGGGAACGTAAATTAGTACAGCTATTGTGGAAAACTCTGGAGGTTCCTCAAAATTCACAGGACTACCATGTGCTCCAGCAACCCCATTTCTGGGTGTATGTCCAAAGGGCATGAAATCAGAAGTTCAAAGAGACACCTGGACCCCCATGTTCATTGCAGCGTTGTTCACAGTTCCCGAGATATGGAAAAAACCTAAATATGTGTTGGTGTTTAAGGAAAATGTGGTGTGTATACGCAACTGAATATTACTCAGCTATGAAAATGAAGGGAATCCTGTCATTTGTGACAACAGGGATGAACCCAAAGTCATTATGTTAAGTGAAACAAGCCAGGCACAGAATGACAGATACTGCATGTCACTTATATGTGGAATCTAAAAAAGTCAAAACTCATGGAAACAGAGTAGGACGGTGGTTGCCAGGGGCTGGGGGAATGCAGACTGCAGCAATGCTGTTGAAAGGTGTGACTTCTCGTTACCAGGTGAGGTTCAGAAGGTCTAATATACAACATGGTGGCTATAGTGAATATTATACAGCATGGTGGCTACAGTTAACATTATACAGCACGGTGGCTATAGTGAATATTATACAGCATGGTGGCTATAGTGAATATTATACAGCACGGTGGCTATAGTGAATATTATACAGTACGGTGGCTATAGTGAATATTATACAGTACGGTGGCTAGAGTTAACATTATACAGCATGGTGGCTATAGTGAATATTATACAGCATGGTGGCTAGTGAATATTATACAGTACGGTGGCTATAGTGAATATACAGCACAGTGGCTAGAGTTAACATTATACAGCACGGTGGCTATAGTGAATATTATACAGCACGGTGGCTATAGTGAATATTATACAGTACGGTGGCTATAGTGAATATTATACAGCACGGTGGCTATAGTGAATATTATACAGCATGGTGGCTAGAGTGAATATTATACAGTACGGTGGCTATAGTGAGTATTATACAGCACGGTGGCTATAGTGAATATTATACAGTACGGTGGCTATAGTGAGTATTATACAGCACGGTGGCTATAGTGAATATTATACAGTACGGTGGCTAGAGTTAACATTATACAGCACGGTGGCTATAGTGAATATTATACAGCACGGTGGCTATAGTGAATATTATACAGCACGGTGGCTATAGTGAATATTATACAGCACGGTGGCTACAGTTAACATTATACAGCATGGTGGCTATAGTGAGTATTATACAGCACGGTGGCTATAGTGAATATTATACAGCACGGTGGCTACAGTTAACATTATACAGCACGGTGGCTATAGTGAATATTATACAGCACGGTGGCTATAGTGAATATTATACAGCATGGTGGCTATAGTGAATATTATACAGCACGGTGGCTATAGTGAATATTATACAGCACGGTGGCTATAGTGAATATTATACAGCACGGTGGCTATAGTGAATATTATACAGCACGGTGGCTATAGTGAATATTATACAGCACGGTGGCTACAGTTAACATTATACAGCATGGTGGCTATAGTGAGTATTATACAGCACGGTGGCTATAGTGAATATTATACAGCACGGTGGCTACAGTTAACATTATACAGCATGGTGGCTATAGTGAGTATTATACAGCACGGTGGCTATAGTGAATATTATACAGCACGGTGGCTACAGTTAACATTATACAGCATGGTGGCTATAGTGAGTATTATACAGCACGGTGGCTATAGTGAATATTATACAGCACGGTGGCTACAGTTAACATTATACAGCATGGTGGCTATAGTGAGTATTATACAGCACGGTGGCTAGAGTGAAAATTTTTTTTTTTTTTTTTTTTTGAGGCGGAGTCTTCACTCTGTCGCCCAGGCTGGAGTGCAGTGGCACCATCTCGGCTCACTGCAAGCTCCGCCTCCCGGGTTCGCGCCATTCTCCTGCCTCAGCCTCCGGAGTAGCTGGGACTACAGGCGCCTGCCACCGCGCCCGGCTAATTTTTTGTATTTTAGTAGAGACGGGGTTTCACCGTGTTAGCCAGGATGGTCTCGATCTACTGACCTCGTGATCCGCCCGCCTCGGCCTCCCAAAGTGCAGGGATTACAGGCGTGAGCCACCGCACCCGTTATACAGCACGGTGGCTACAGTTAACATTATACAGCATGGTGGCTATAGTGAATATTATACAGCACGGTGGCTATAGTGAATAGTATACAGCATGGTGGCTAGAGTTAACATTATACAGCATGGCGGCTATAGTTAATATTATACGACACGGTAGCTAGAGTTAATATTATAACTTGAAATTTGCAAACAGAGTAGACCTTAAGCGTCTGTATCTCCAAAAAAATGATAAGTGTATGAGGTGATGGATGTGTATTAACTTGATTGTGTCATCAGTTCACAAAATATATCAAATCATCACATTGTACACCTTAAATATATACACTTTTGTTTTTTATTTTAATTCATCAATCATACCTCAGTAAATCTGGGGGAAAAAAAGCAAAATCCATAAAAATTTTAAAATTTTCATTATAAAAGTAGTATATGCTTATTGGGGAAATCTTTTGAACAGCACAAAGCTAAAATACAAATAGGGTCAGGCGTGCAGTGGCTCATGCCTGTAATCCCAGCACTTTGGAAGGCCGAAGTGGGAGGATCACCTGAGGTCAGGAGTTCAAGACCAGCCTGGCCAACATGGCAAAACCGAATCTCTACTAAAAATACAAAAATTAACTGGGCATGGTGGTGCACACCTGTAATCCCAGCTACCCGAGAGGCTGAGGCAGAAAAGTCACTTGAACCTGGGAGCCGGAAGTTGCTGGGAGCCGAGATCGAGCCACTGTACTCCAGCCTGGGCGACAGAGTTAGACTCTATCTCAAAATAAATAAATAAAATACAAATGGAAGTCCCTTCTCTGATCCCAGGCTTCTATCCTACCTGCATAGTGTAGCAGCACCACTGGTATGGCCCCCAGTGATGTGTGTGGGGTGTGCGTGAGTAGAGGGTTGTGTGCACACAGACAGCACTGAGAAGATGGTGCCCGGGGACTGCTGTGTCCATTCTGTGATCTCACCAGACAAGAGGTCCGGACGTGGGCCGCTGTGTGCAGTCACTGCTGTCTGTTGTTTCCATAGGTTACGGGTGCACCTACTTCTGCCCACACCAGCACTGGTGACAGCATGGCCATGATCACCAGGGCAGACCTTCCTTGCCAGGACCTAGAGTTTGTTCAGTTCCACCCCACAGGTAGGGCAGGACACCTTGCCTGGCAGGCGTTCAGCTCACATGTGTCTTATAAGCTGTACTTGTAAGTTGTAAGCAACTACTCATTGCTCCTCCATAGTTTTATGTGGTAACGTGGTTTTGAAGATCAGCTTTCTCAGCTCTCAGGTCCTCACTTCAATGTCATTTCCTTAAGGAGACTTTTCTCACACTTTCTTTCCCCTAAGGCAGTTTGGGCCAGCATCTTATGCATTTCTGAAGAGCCCTAAACCCTACGTTGGTGATACTTCTGCCAGCAGTAAAGCAGGGATTGAGGCCAGGCGCGGTGGCTCACACCTGTAATCCCAGTACTTTGGGAGGCCAGGGCGGCCGGATCACCTGAGGTCAGCAGTTTGAGACCAACCCAACCAACAAGGTGAAACCTCATCTCTACTAAAAATACAAAAATCAGCATGACGTGGTGGCATGTACCTGTAATCCCAGTTACTTGGGAGGCCAAGGCAAGAGGAATACTTGAATCTGGGAGGCAGTGGTTGCAGTGAGCCAAGATCGCACCCCTGCACTCCAGCCTGGGCAACAGAGTAAGACTCCGTCTCAAAAAAAAAAAAAAAAAGTAAAGCAGGGATTGTTCAGTGTCCCTCTTCGCAACGAGGTCGTCAGCTCCTCGGGCAGGCAGGTCTTCTCATTAGCTGGGGTGGCCCATGCCCAGCACGTGGCAGGGTCTCCATCAGGGTTTGATGAGTGAGCGTTCTGAGAGCTGGGAGAATGCCGTGGAACCCAGAAGCAGCACGGGCAGATTCCGGCTTTGTAGGAGAACACGGAGCTTCCGCGATAATGGGGTGTAAAGTTAGGGCACGGCCGTGACAGAACCCCGTGTGACGTTCGGACGTTGGGGCTCCGCCCACATGACCACTGAGGGAGCTTGTTGTGAGGAAGATGCGCTCATCTCGGGACGTCTGACGGTTGAGCTTACGAATGTGCAGTTTGGAGACATTAACACAGAAATGACAGTTGAAGTCTTGAGTTTGGGGGAGGTTCTTCAGAATGAGTCAGAGAGAGAGACACACACACATCTGCCTCTTGTTTGAAGTGACTCGTCCTGGACTTCTCTGGGTTGCTTTTCTGACCTGTGGACGATGGAGACCCCTGAAGTGGTGCTAAAGAACCAGACCCGTGCCTTCTCTTTCTCTGTCAGTGTCAGCTTTCTGATCCCTGGAAGGGATGAAAATAAGAAATGAATTTGTTGTAGGTTTTTTTTTTTTTTTTTAATTTGTTTAGAGACGGGGTCTTGCTCTGTTGCCCAGGCTGGAGTGCAGTGGAGCAGTCTTGGCTCACTGCAGCCTTTGTCTCCCAGGCTCAAAGGATCCTTCCACCTCAGCCTCCCAAACGGCTGGGACTACAGGCATGCATTACCATGCCCGGCTAATTTTTGAGGGTTGTTTTGTTTTTGGTAGAGACGGGGTGTCACCGTTTTGCCCAGGCTGGTCTCAAACTCCAGGGCTTAGGCGATCCTCCTGCCTCGGCCCCTCAGAGTGCTGGGATTATAGCCATGAGCCACTGCACCTGGTCTGTTGTATTTTTTTATTACTTTTTTTAATCAATAGAATGCCACTGAGTCCCTGAATTCTCTCTGTAATTTGCTTAGAGCTCCACTTCTCATGCTTTGTCTTCAGTATGTGAGAAGTAATCTGCAGAAAAAAGAGCACTGAAACTTAGAAAATCAAAAGACAGGTGAGATGCAAGAATCACATTCTCGTTTTAAAAGCAAGATTGCCCTTTTTGTATACTAATAAAAATTGTAGCTTTTGAAATACGTTTACTTTCGGGTTTTTGATCTCCTTTGTTAAAATTCGAGAGCTAGGCATGCCCTGTTTCTCATTGCCTTGAGGAGTCACAGAGCTGCTGTTTGGAGCACAGACCGCCGGACTGCCCAGGTTTGGGTTTGAGCTGTGTCCTCAACTGCATGACTGGATGTTACCAAGCGGTAATTTGCTGTCACTGAGAAAGCGGGTAGTACTACCCGGAGTTGTTGTAAGACTTAAATGAGTTAACGTGGAAAGCAGCTAGAACTGCCCCAGCAAGTGCAGTGTGAATATTAACTAAATCATTATTACTGTCCTTGCCACTGTTTGGGTAATTTAGATATGAATTATCCAAGCTCGTATTCTTAACTAGTCACCACAGTATCATAGTACCAAAGAATGTTCCAAAATTAAAACAAAATTTGAGGCATCCAACGTACACTCAGCGGTAATCAGAGTATCAGCCAGAGGTCTGTGGGCTGGCCTTTCTCCTCACTGGGGACACTGCTCTGCCCCAACCTCTGCTGCAGCTGTCAGCCTCGTCAGTGCTTTTTGTTATCCAGACTTTCTACTGTGTCTTAACTGTTCTTTCTATTCAGTTTTGCATATAATGCCTTCTGCATATCTTTTTCCTCTCTCCCCCAAAAAAATCTTGAAAAAAATAATGCATTTGAAATAGAGTCCTAGCAATTGTTAGGTTATAAATGTTTGTGGTTTTTTGCAGGCATATATGGTGCCGGTTGTCTCATTACGGAAGGATGTCGTGGAGAGGGAGGCATTCTCATTAACAGTCAAGGCGAAAGGTTTATGGAGCGATACGCCCCGGTGGCGAAGGACCTGGCGTCTAGAGATGTGGTGTCTCGGTCGATGACTCTGGAGATCCGCGAAGGAAGGTCCGTGTGATTTACCACCAGCATTGTCTGAGTGGGCACACGGGCCGGGGTTGCTTCTGTGAGTTCCAGCACCGCTCGCCCTCACCTTCGTGTGCAGGCACACGTGCACAGCCACCTCTCTCAGCTGCTGACAGGCGTCTGTTAGTCTGTGGTATTTTCTTAAAGACCTACATTTTAAAAATTTTAGCCAGTTTCTTTCTCAGATCTGTGGAACAGAGTTTCTCTTAGTGTGGGTGAGTATGTGACAGAGTACGGGAGAGAGAGACGCACACGCAATCTGAAGTCGGCACGTGAGCCTTGGGTCTTGTGTCTGATGCCCACAGGTGTTTTTTGGCAGCTTTTCAAAGGGTGTGGGTTACTTGGCTTTCAGTAAAACAGTTTGCAGCTCTTTCATTCCTGACCCTGTTCTTTAATGTAATATCTGCTGGTATGGCCTTTAGAGGTTTTACATTTTTCTATTAAAAAAAAAAAAGAAAAGTCAATTTTTTTTTTTTGAAATATGGTGGCCTGGAAGGGCGCAGTGGCTCACGCCTATAATCCCAGCACTTTGGGAGGCCGAGACGGGCGGATCACGAGGTCAGGAGATCGAGACCACCCTGGCTAACATGGTGAAACCCCGTCTCTACTAAAAATACAAAAATTAGCCGGGCGCAGTGCGGGCGCCTGTAGTCCCAGCTACTCGGGAGGCTGAGGCAGGAGAATGGCGTGAACCTGGGAGGCGGAGCTTGCCAGTGAGTGGAGATCGCGCCACTGCACTCCAGCCTGGGCGACAGAGCGAGACTCTGTCTCAAAAAAAAAAAAAAGAAAAGAAATATGGTGGCCCTCCATACACATCGGTTCCACATGTGTGGTTTCAACCAGCTATGTATTGAAAGTAAAATTGCATCCTTACAAATATGCAGACTTTTTTTCCTTGTCATTGTTCCCTAAACAACAGTTTAACAACTATTTACGTAGCATTTACATTGTATTAGGTACTGTGAGTAATCCTGGAGTTGTTGTAAAGCTTAAATGTAAAACTTTAAATGAGGATGATGTAAAGTATAGAGGAGGATGTGCATAGGTTATATATAAATACTCTTCCATTTTATATTAGGGACTTGAGCATCCACGGATTTTAGTATCCATGGGGGTCCTGGATCCAACCTGCCACAGATACGCAGGGACGATTGTGTTTGGCATAGAGCCCTTTCTAATGCACTTACCAAGGACAGCCGCAGCAGGCTGTGATCCCTGAGACGAGTGTGAGTTCAGGGAGGGCAGAGTTTTTGTTCTGGGTCTCAGCTGTGTCCCAGCACCTAGGATTGTCCCTGGCACACAGTAGATGCTTAGAAAAGATTTGATGAGAGGGTGAGCATAAATGAGGGGAAATTTTCCTCAGTATCAAAACATATTGAAACTCACATGCTTCCAAGATGACGTATTCTGAGGTCTCCTGCCGTTGCCATTCTCTGCCTTATGTGATGGTGTTTGTTCTGTCTTCCCAGAGGCCGTTCTCTGCCTTATGTGATGGTGTTTGTTCTGTCTTCCCAGAGGCCGTTCTCTGCCTTATGTGATGGTGTTTGTTCTGTCTTCCCAGAGGCTGTGGCCCTGAGAAAGATCACGTCTACCTGCAGCTGCACCACCTGCCTCCGGAGCAGCTGGCCACGCGCCTGCCCGGCATTTCAGAGACAGCCATGATCTTCGCTGGTGTGGACGTCACGAAGGAGCCGATCCCTGTCCTCCCCACCGTGCATTATAACATGGGCGGCATTCCCACCAACTACAAGGGGCAGGTGATGGTGCTGGCTGCCCTCCCACAGCTGGAAAGAAGGCTGGGACAACGGGGCCCACCTTGCAGTTGTCTCTTTTGATCTTAGATGAAAAGACAGATGTTTTCTTCAAGAAAGTTCTGTCTTGTTTTCTAGATTGTACTTTAAATTTCTATTACTGGAGGATGGAGGGGGCTTAATAATTTATTCCTCCTTAGTAAATTGTCATAGATACATCATTTGCAGCTTTTTCCATTTTATAATTACTTTCCTATATGATCTTGTGTTATTTCTAATGATCTTGTACATCAAGGGATCTTTCTAATTCCTACCTTTGAGTAGTTTGCGGTTCACACAGAGCTTGTCAGTCACTTAGGCTACTTGTTGGGCGAGGTGGGCGGCAGCTGTTACTTTCCCTACGTAGATGAAGAGGTGAACGGGGGGTAGAAGAGTCTGGAACATCAGTGTCACCTACTGATGTTCCTCCACCTGCCGTGCTCCCGGGTCTGAGCTGGAGCGCAGGTGGTGAGGGCCTCGGGAACATGGGACACGGGGACAGTCACAGATGCCGACATTGGGGGTCCTCTGCAGGTGGTGAGGGCCTCGGGAACATGGGACATGTAGACAGTCGCAGATGCCGACATTGGGGGTCATCTGCAGGTGGTGAGGGCCTCGGGAACGTGGGACACGGGGACAGTCGCAGATGCCAACATTTGGGGTCCTCTGTGGGTGGTGAGGGCCTCAGGAACGTGGGACACAGGAACAGTCGCAGGTACCAACATTGGGGGTCCTCTGCAGGTGGTGAGGGCCTCGGGAACGTGGGATATGGGGACAGTGTCAGATGCTGACATTGGGGGTCCTCTGACCTACTTGTAACAGCATCAGAGCACAGGTGGTGAGGGCCTCAGGAATGCGGGACCTGGGGACAGTTACAGATGCCGACATTGGGGGTCCTCTGATCTACTGGTCACAGCAGGTGCTCGGGGCAGAGGGAAACGGGGGGACATTCGGAAGCTTCCCTCTGAAGAAGAGGAGCTATGGTCCTTACCTCCCTCTTAGATATGGTCTTTCCTTCCCTCTTTTTTTCTTGGAGATTCAGTCTCGCTCTGTTGCTTAGGCTGAAGTGCAGTGGCGCAATCTCGGCTCACTGCAACCTCCGCCTTCCAGGTTCAAGCGATTCTTCTGCCTCAGCCTCCCGAGTAGCTGGGATTATAGGCACTTGCCATCATGCCTGGCTAATTTTTGTATTTTTAGTTGAGACGGGGTTTCACCATGTTAGCCAAACATGCCTCAAACCCCTGACCTCAGGTGATCCACTCGCCTCAACCTCCCAAAGTGCTGGGATTACAGGCGTGAGCCACCGCGCCTGGCCTACTTCCCTTTCTTTCTCTGGTCTGCAGCACAGACACCCTGTTGGGGGAGGTGGGCTGGTGGAGGTATGGGCACCTTGACATTTCACCTGAAATCTTCCTTTCCACAGGTCCTGAGGCACGTGAATGGCCAGGATCAGATTGTGCCCGGGCTGTACGCCTGTGGGGAGGCCACCTGTGCCTCGGTACATGGTGCCAACCGGCTCGGGGCAAACTCCCTCTTGGACCTGGTCGTCTTTGGTCGGGCATGTGCCCTGAGCATCGAAGAGTCGTGCAGGCCTGGTAAGTGTTTTCTTCAGGAGCCAGACTGTTCGAGAAGGCGCAGGAGGTTACAGTCGTTTTTCCTTTTTTTGAGACAGGTCAGCCCAGGCTGGAGTGCCATGGCACAGTCATAGCCGCCTCAACCTCCCGGGCTCGAGCAGTCCTCAACACCTCCACCTGCAGAGTCCCAAGTAGCTGGGACTACAGATGTGCACCACCACACCTGGCTAATTTAAAAAAATTTTTTTTTTTTTTGTAGAGACAGGGTCTCACAATATTGCCCAGGCTGGTCTTGAACTCCTAGACCCAAGTAGTCCTTCTGCCTCAGCTTCCCAAAGTACTGGGATTACAGACATGAGCCACGGCACCCAGCCAGGTTACAAAGCCTCGATTTGTTACTGGAAATTTGCTTAGTGGTCATATAGAGGTAGTCTGGGTTTTTTCCCCTAGAAGTGATTAAACTGAGAAATCCGGAGGTTATATGGTGGTAATGTTGAGACTAGATAGAGGCTGGTTGGGGATCTTAACAGTTAAGGTGACATTTTTGGGGTTACTTTTTTTTTTTAATTATTTTGTAGTCATTATGTTCTGCTTAGAAAATGCACTATTAGGAAGTTGTTATTTTTAGGGGAAGTTCATTACATATTACTTGCCTGATAAAAATCACTTATTTGCAATGAAATTTTTTAAATAACATGTCATGAACAAATATGTAACTTGGTACTTAGAAAAATAATTTAGGCCATTCTAAAAACAAAGTACAGCTAGCCTCTATTAGAGGAGAAAGGATGACTTACAGTGAACAGGATTCTCACTCTCTACGGACAGATTGGATTTCACTTGCTGGTTTTCTTTTCATGATAGCATCAAATAATGTGTAGGAGAAGAAATACCATGTGTGGGAGTGTGAGTCTCATGTACACTAAGAACAGGACAATTAGCATCACTCTCACCTCCAGAGATCTTCACGGTAGTTATCCAGCCTCGTGTGCTCAGAACAGTGTGAGGTGGATGGGGCACCAGTGGATGTTTGTGTGGCAAGGATGGTGGGACCCCAGGCCCACATTGTTCCCGTTACCTTTCTCTCATGTTAACTGTTTGGCATCATTTCTGCTGTGTTTATAGAACAGGTGGTTTTTGTATGGATTCAAGTGAAATAAAAGCTAGGACTGCCGTAACTTATAAACATGCCCCCTTTTATATCTGTAGTTAGAAAATACAGAGAGTACTAAAAGGGTAGCTTACTTCAGCCACTCTGTCTCTGGATCTGACCACAGCTCGGGAGGCCAGCACATGCAGAGCTGGAGTCTTACCCCAAGTCGCTGCTGATCATGGACGAAGGCGGAGTTCAGGTCCATCGTTCCTGATGCCACAGGTTGTGCTTGTCTCACTCCATAGCCCTGCACTTTGTAGCAGTGGGGACTGATACCACTTCTTTCAGAGCAATGTAGAAATTTTGAGCTTCTCTTTCTTTGAAAATGCAAAAAAGAACATTTTGTAAGAATACCCTATACTTTACATCTGAGAAACCGCTCACGCATGCAGCATCTCACGCAGAATGCTGTGGAGTCAGACTCAAAAGGCTGCACACCTGTGGCTCTCTTGATACAACATTCTGGAAAAGGCACATCTAGGGAAGAAAAGGGATTGGTGGTTGCCAGAGGCTGTTTCCTAATTGTGCTAATACAGACACAGCTCTGTGTGTGTCAAAATTTGAAAAACCCTATACTAAAAATGATGAGTTTATTTTACTCTATCTTTATGCTTTAATTTTTAAAAATGGAAAGGAAAGAAAAAATGCTTATAGCATCACTACTTCTCCCCCACCCCCAAAAATACATATTTTTAGAGATAGTCTCCCTCTGTCGCCCAGGCTGGAGTGCAGTGGTACGGTCAGGTGCACGCCACCACACATGGCTAATTTTTAAAAATGTTTCATAGGGACAGAGTCTCCCTGTGTTGCCTAGGATGGTCTTGAACTCCTGGCGTCAAGTGATCCTCCTGTCTCAGCCTCCCAAAGTGGTTATATGCATCTATACATGTGTTAAAGTTGGTAGAACTGAGGCTGGGCGCAGTGGCTCATGCCTATAATCCCACCACTTTGGGAGGCCGAGGCAGGCAGATTGCTTGAGCTCAGGAGTTGAAGACCAGCTTGGGCAAGGTGGTAAAACCCCGTCTCTGCAAAAAATACAAAAATTAGCTGGGCATGGTGGCTCACACCAGTGTAGCCCTAGCTACTTGGGAGGCTGAGGTGGGAGGATTGCTGGAGCCTGGAAGGCGGAGGTTGCAGTGAGCCGAGATCACACCACTGCACTCCAGCCTGAGCAACAGAGGGAGGAGACGCTGTCTCAAAATAAAAGAAAAAAGAAATTGTACAACGGTCCACTGAAAGAAAAAAGTCAATTTTACTGAATGATCAATTTTTAAAGCATTATAATCAAAAGGAAAAGAAACACCAGCAATCCTAGAAGCATTTGAGCAGGCCCTCAAGAGACCCACACCCTGGTCCCCTGGGGAGGCGGTGGGCGGGGCGGGGCCTGTTTGACTCCTGCATTTCATACCTCCTACCTTCTGCATGTATTACCTGTTGAAGAAAATATATATAATATTATAAAAAGAACTTTAAAACTTTTTTCAAGACATCTTAGAAACACAAGAGTTGCAAATCTCGGCTGTGCACATTGCTCACACTTGTGATCCCAGCACTTTGGAAGGCCGAGGCAGGTGGATCACCTGAGGTCAGGAGTTTGAGACCAGCCTGGTCAACATGGTGAAACCCCATCTCTACTGAAAATACAAAAATTAGCCAGGTATGGTGGCATACTCCTGTAGTCCCAGCTACTCCGGAGACTTGAGGCAGAAGGATTGCTTGAACCAGGAGGTGGAGGTTGCAGTGAGCCGAGATGGTGCCAGTGCACTCCAACCTGGGCTACAGAGCAAAATTCCATCTCAAAAAAAAAAATTGCAAATCTTGAAGTGTAGGTGAGAGCACACAAGAGTCCAAATCAGCAGGTGACTTTCAAGCACACAGCAACCACCTTCCTCCCCCTTATGCGAAGGACGGTGGGGTGGCTGGCCCCTTGGGACCACCATCTGGAAGGTGGTTTTTTTTTTCCCCTTTATATACACTTATTCCCGTTATATACACACATTTATATACACTTAATATGTATAAATTTGTATACTTTTTTTTTTTTTTTTAAAGACAGCGTCTCACTCCGTTGTGCAGGCTGGAGTGCAGTGGCGCGATCTCAGCTCACTGCAACCTTCACCTTTCAGGTTCAAGCAGTTCTCGTGCCTCAGCCTCCCGAGTAGCTGGGATTATAGGCGCGTGCCACCATACCCAGGTCATTTTTGTGTTTTTAGTAGAAATGAGGTTTTGCCATGTTGGCCAGGCTGCTCTTGAACTCCTGACCTCAAGTAATCCACCTATCTCGGCCTCCTAAAGTGCTGGGATTACAGGCGAGAGCTACCGCACCTGGCCTTCATTTAATTTTTTAATTTTAGAGATGATTTCTAGTTTATTCACTCTAAGATAAGTTAATGGATATCTACTGTGTGCCAACAATTTTGCCTTTATGTATGTTCTTTAAAATTGGCCCCAACTCAACAGATGGCCTCAGATGTAGGGTGGGCTGGCAGTGTGTTAGCTGAGGGGACTTTCACAGTTTCCAAGCTCCTTGAGCGGCCGGGCTACGTATTTTTGTGTCATTCTAAATCCATTTGGTTTTTTAGAACGGTTTTGAAAAGTTAAATTCTAGCTTTTTTGTTTTGTTTTAGGAGATAAATTCCCTCCAATTAAACCAAATGCTGGGGAAGAATCTTCATGAATCTTGACAAATTGAGATTTGCTGACGGAAGCGTAAGAACGTCGGAACTTCGACTCTGCATGCAGAAGGTAAGAGCCTGGACTCGCTCTGGAGTGAGCAGGCTGGCTGCATACCTGGCCCTGCACTGGTTTTGTTTTTTTAAAAATAGATTTAGGGGGATGCAGGTGCAGTTTGTGTGGATGTACCATGAGGTGGTGGAGTCTGGGCTTTTCACATCACCCAAGTCATGTATGTTGTACCCAGCAGGTAATTGCTCATCCCCACCCCTCCCGCTTTTTGGAGCCCCCAGTCTCTGTTAGTCCACTCCGTGTGGCCACGTGTACTCACCATTCAGCTCCCACTTCAAGTGAGAATGTGACACCTGACCTTCTGAGTGACCTCCTGTTCCATCCACATGGCTGCAGAAGACATGATTGCGTTATTTTTTTAAGGCTGAGTATTTCATGGTGTTTATGTACCACATTTTCTTTGTCCGGTCATCCATTGATGGGCACTTAGGTTGATTCCATGACTTTGCTATTGTGACTAGTGCTGCGATAAACATACGAGGCTGCACCAGTATCGAGGTAAACAGCAGTAGGATGTACTCCTCACTGTATCAAGAATATGAAAGAGACCAGGAGGCCTGAACTATACAGAAGTGCACTTTTCCACATAGAAGGTCAGCAGGCTAGGGCAGAATTAGTGACTGCTTAGCATCCAGGACAGCCTTCTCCGGTTCACTCGTGTGTGCTTAGGCATGACCTCCGTGCCCTGACCGTTGCAGGCTGTCATGGATGAGTCACAGCGTGGAGGAGAGGGAGCAGCAGGACCGCGGGAGAAGCTCAGTCCCCAGCAGGGCAGCTTTCTCTTTGCAGGTTTCCTGGAGTTCAACACAATACTGGTGCTTATATCTCAGGCCCACATATTGATCGTGTCATCATGCCTGACTTCCAGCAGCTTGGAAATGTCTTTAAGCTGGGCCTGTGGCTGCCCCTGAATATACTCAGAAGAGAGGGAGAGTGGGCAGCAGGTGGAAACTGATGTGTGCGGCCTGTGCTGCTGGGAGTCGGTCCAGTGGGACCGTCTGTGACGATGGAAATGTTCCGAGTGTTTGCCGTCCAGTATGGCAGCCATTAGCCACAGAGGGCTGTGGAGAACTTGATATATAGTCAGTCTAAGAAACTGAATTCCTCTAATAACAAGGATTCTTGTCCATGAATGAGATCTCTTGTCTACTATTTGGAAGAATTTCTGCATATTTTCTAAAAAGAAGTCCATTGCTTTAGTCCTATTCTGAAAGGCGTTTGGTGTTAAGACACAAGAGAACAGGTTCCCTGCTGACATTTTCAGAGGCCTGTGCCCTTCGGTCTTCAAGTGAGGCTGGGCTTGAAGGAGGCTTTGTGGAACGGTGAGAACGGTGTGACTAAGGCACAGAAGGCTAAGGGATGCCCTGCAGTACTTTTGTAGGGTTGGAGGCCAGCTGTGAGAGAAGGAACCATTGCATTAGAGAATGGGAACATGCCTTAGGATACAGAAATGGCAAATCCGTGAGACAGTTTGAAGTGAGAATACTAGAAACATTCTCACCAAACAAGGTGTGTCTTGGTGCCTGCTGTATCGCAGGCTCCGTGAGATGCTGGAGTCAGCACTGAACAAACAGAGCTTCCTGTGCTTGTGGAAGTGCGTTTCGTTGGGGGAAGGGATTTTTCTGCTGACTCTGGCTATTAATAGTAAGAATCAAAAAAAGAAATGAGGTAAATTGTTGGGAACAGGCCCCCAAATCTGGCCATAAACTGGCCCCAAAACTGGCCATAAACAAAATCTCTGCAGCACTGTGACGTGCTCGTGATGGCCATGACGCCCACGCTGGAAGGCTGTCAGTTTACTGGAATGAGGGCAAGGAACACCTGGCCCACCCAGAGTGGAAAACCGCTTAAGTGTTTCTTAAACCACAAACAGTAGCATGAGCGATCTGTGCTTAAGGACGTGTTCCTGCTGCAGATAACTAGCCAGACCCATCCCTTTGTTTCCCGTAAGGAATACTTTTAGTAAATCTTATGACTGGCTTGCTGTCAGTAAATATGTGGGTAAATCTCTGTTTGAGGCTCTCAGCTCTGAAGGCTGTGAGACCCCAGATTTCCCACCCCACGCGCTATATTTCTGTGTGTGTGTCTTTAATTCCTCTAGCGCTGCTGGGTTAGGGTCTCCACGACCAAGCTAGTCTCAGCAAGCAGCACCCATATGTGGGGTTCAGACCCAGGTCAAAGGGTCACCGGAGCAACGGAGAACATGCAACTAAGCTAGAGGACACCCGAGTACTCTTAAGCCATCCCCATGGTGAATAAGAAGGGGAGCTCGGAAGCATCATGGTAACAATGGGACAAGTGTGGGCTCTGGTTCGTTACCTTGGAACCTTTTCACGCTAATAATAAGGGGGAAGGAGAGTAGAACGAAGTAGCAGAAGAAGTAACAGAGCAGGTTTGTTTGCCAGCTAAAGCTAAAGTGGCAAAGGAGGGAGAGGTTCATCCCTACCCTTCTGCACCCCCTTCTTATTTTGAAGAAAAAGAGTGACCTGACCCTCCAGATCTTTATTTTCCGGAGGACACTGGGCGAAAAGTAGTTGCTCCAGTGACTGTTCGAGCAGCGCCTCGAGCGACCGCTCTCAGTTCTATTCAGGCAGGAATTCGGCAAGTTAGAAGAGAGGGTGATACAGAAGCTTGTCAGTTCCCTGTCAGAACACACCCCACAGGTCAACAGGGAAATATTTTAGCTACATTTGAGCCTTTCCCTTTAAATTACTTGAAGAGTCTGAACAGGCTGTCAATCAGCACGGACCCGGTTCTCCTGTTGTAACGGGACTGGTAAAGAATGCTGCTGTCTCCAGTCGGATGATTCCTACTGACTGGGATGCTCTTACTCGACCCTGTCTAACTCCTGCTCAGTTCTTACAATTTAAAGCTTGGTGGGCAGATGAAGCTTCCATTCAGGCTGCTCACAACGCCCAGGCCCAACCTCAAATTAATATGACTGCAGACCAACTTTTAGGGGTCGCAGCTGGGCTGGTTTAGATGTACAAGTGGTCATGCAGGATGATGCCATAGAGCCGCTTAGAGGAGTGTGCATTAGAGCTTGGGAAAAAATCACTTCAGGTGGAGAGCAGTACCCTTCCTTTAGTGCAGTTAAAACAGGGACCAAAAGAACCGTATGCAGATTTTATAGCTCAGTTATAGGACTCTCTTAAAAAGGTGATTGCAGTTTTGGCTGCTCATGGTATAGTTTTGCGGTTATTTGCTTTCGACGATGCTAATCCCGGCTGCCAGGCTGCTCTGCGACCTATTAGAGAGAAAGCACACTTAGTTGATTATATCAAGGCCTGTGTTGGTATAGGAGGTAATAAAGTTAAAGCTACATTGTTGGCACAGGCAGTGACGGGACTGAGAGTGGATAAAGGAAATCCTCTGTTCTCTGGAGCTTGTTTTAACTGTGGGAAGCGTGGTCATACTAAACAAGAAAGTAGAAAAAATCAGCAAATCAGGCTGCCAGATAGGGGAAAAAAGAAAACTGCAGAGCCTGAAATATGTCCAAAATGTAAAAAGGAAAACATTGGGCTAATCACTCACTCTAAGTTTGATAAAGATGGGAACCCAATTTCGGGAAATGCCATGAGGAGCCCGTCCTGGGCTCCGTTCCAAACCAGGGCATTTCCGGCTCAGGCCACTCCTTCAGCCCTGTACAATGTCTGTCCCCCACCACAGCCGGTAGTGCCGCAGTAGATTTATGCTGCGCAATAGCTGTGAGCCTTCTGCCTGGGGAGCCCCTGCAAAAGGTCCCAACAGGAGTCTGTGGACGCTTGCCAGTGGGGACGATAGGATTACTTTTAGAAAGATTTAGTTTAAATTTAAAAGGGTACAAATACATGCAGGAGTCATTGATTCAGATTACAATGGGGAAATTCAAATTATTATATCTACTTCTGTTCCCTGGAAAGCTGCACCAGGAGAGCGCATAGCACAGCTCCTGATTGTGCCGTATGTGGGAACGGGGAAAAGTGAAACTAAATGAACAGGAGGATTTGGAAGCACAAACAAGGCAGAGCAGCTTATGGGGTGAATCAAATTTACTGTTAAACGTCCTACCTGTGAAATAACTATTCAGGGAAAGAAATTTAAAGGTTTGGTAGGTACAGGAGCGGACATTTCAATCCTTTCTCTACAGCCCTGGCCGTCCGCGTGGCCAATTCAACCTGCTCACTTTAACATAGTTGGAGTTGGTAAAGCCCCTGAAGTATATCAAAGTAGTTATATTTTACATTGTGAAGGGCCCAGTGGACAACCTGGGACTACTCAACCAATTATAACTTCTGTACCTATAAATTTATGGGGGAGAGATTTATTACAACAGTGGGGAGCACAAGTTCTAATTCCAGAACAATTACATAGCCCTCAAAGTCAGCATATGATACATGAAATGGGGTATGTCCCTGGTATGGGACTAGGAAAACATTTCCAAGCTTTGAAAGAACTGCTTGAAGCGGGAAGACAAAGTTCCCGCCAAGGTTTAGGGTATCATTTTTGATGGCAGCCATTGTTAAGCCACCAGAACCTATACCTTTAAAATGGTTAACAGAGAAGCCAGTTTGAATAGAACAATGGCCGCTAAGTAAAGAGAAACTGGAGGCTTTAGAGGACTTAGTTAATGAACAATTAGAAAAGGGACACATAGCTCCAACATTTTCCCCAGTTTTTGTAATTAAGAAAAAAATTGGGTACATGGAGAATGTTAACTGACTTAAGATCCATTAATTCAGTTATACAACCTATGGGGACATGACAGCCAGGATTGCCTTCTCCTGCTATGATTCCAAAAAATTGGCCTTTAATAGTCATAGATTTATTAAAAGACTGTTTCTTTACTATCCCCTTAGCTGAGCAAGACTGTGAATGGTTTCCATTTACAATTCCTGCAATAAACAACCTGCAGCCTGCTAAGCGTTTTCATTGGAAAGTGTTGCCACAAGTCAGGTTAAACAGTCCAACAATTTGCCAGACATATGTAGGGCAAGCAATTGAACCTACTCTTAAAAAATTTTCAGTGTTACATTATTCATTATATGGACAATATACTTTGTGCTTCCCCCACTTGAGAAATATTACTCCAATGTTATGATCACTTGCAAAATTCAATTTCTGGTGCTGGTTTAATTACAGGTCCTGACAAAATTCAGATTACTACTCCTTACTCCTACTTGGGGACCTTAGTAAATGACACTACCATTGTGCCACAGAAAGTAGCCATATGTAGGGATCAATTGAAAACATTAAATGACTTTCAAAAATTACTAGGGGACATTAACAGGATACGATCTGCTCTAGGCATTCCTACCTATGCCATGAGTAATCTATGTTCTATCCTTAGAGGAGATCCTAGTCACACTAGCCCTCGGCAATTAACGAAAGAAGCTGAGGCAGAGCTGCAGCTAATCGAAAAGCAAGGCCATAAAGCTCAAATAAATAGAACAGATCCAGAGAAGACTCTCGATTTGCTCATTTTTCCAACTCGCGTTCACCTGCTGGTGTTAGTGTCCAACAGCAAGATCTTGTAGAGCGGCTTTCCCTCCACATCCTGATCCACGGTGTAGAGCGGCTTTTCCCTCCGCGTCCTGATCCACGGTGTAGAGCGGCTTTCCCCCGCATCCTCAATTCACGGCGTGGAGCGGCTTTCCCCCCGCACCCTGATCCACAGTGTAGAGGGGCTTTCCCCCGCGGCGTAGAGCGGCTTCCCCCACCGCCCCCCGCGTCCCGATCTGCGGAGTACAGCGGCTTTCCCTCCACATCCTAATTCATGGACTCTGACCCCTCATTTGGATCAAATCGCTACTGTGATAGGAAATGGGAGAACTCGGATTGTTAAATTACATGGATATGATCCTGGAAAAATTATTGTCCCTCTCATGAAGGCACAAATACAGCAAGATTTTGCAAATAGTCTTACTTGGCAAACCCATTTAGCTGACTTTGTGGGTATTCTCGATAATCATTTTCCTAAGATGAAACTTTCAATTTTTGAAATTAACTAATTGGATTCTCCCTAAAATAACTAAATTTAAACCAATTGAAGGTGCTGAGAATGTTTTTACAGATGAGTCTAGTAATGGTAAAGCTTCTTATTCTGGCTCGAAAGGTAAGGTTTTCCAGATGCCCTATACTTCAGCTCAAAAAGAGGAGCTTGTATCTGTAATTGAGGTAGTGACTGCTTTTAATATGCCTATTAATGTGATTTCTGATTTTTCATACGTGGTTCACTCCACACAGTTAATTGAAAATTCTCAGTTACGATTTCATACAGATGAACAACTGATGACTTTATTTACCCAATTGCAAACAGCAGTTAGGAGTAGAACGCATCCTTTTTACATCACTCACATTAGGGCTCATACACCTCTCCAGGACCTTTGACTGCAGGGAATCAAATGGCCGATCGCCTAGTTGCTACTGCAATATCTAATGCCAGACACTTTCACAATGTAACCCACGTTAATGCCTCTGGTCTCAAACGCAGATACAGCATTACCCAGAAAGAAGCTAACGCTATTACCAATGATGCCCAACTTGCTAAATGGTACATTCCTCATCTTTTACAGGAGGAGTTAATTCTCAAGGATTGGAACCCAATTCTCAAGCTCTAGCTACATTTTTCTCTACATGGAATATTAAACACGTTACTGGTATCCCATGTAATTCTCAAGGACAAGCCATAGTGCAAAGAATGAATCTCTCCCTGAAACAGCAGTTGCAAAAGCAGAGGGTGGAAAACAGGGACTACGGGACACCCCACATGCAACTGAATCACAGTATTAACTTTAAATTTTTTGAGCCTGCCTAAAGGCCAGATGTTATCAGCAGCTGAACAGCATCTACAGAAACCAGCCGCAAAGATGGAAGCAGAACAACTGGCTTGGTGGAGAGACCTGATAACCAAAAGTTGGGAAATAGGTAAAATAGTAACTTGGGGTAGAGGTTATTCTTCTGTTTCTCCAGGACTGAACCATCAAGACACTTGAAACCTTATCATGAGCCGATGCTGAGGAAGAGATTCTGGGAGGATCCTGAGGACCCCCTCGTTGCAGCCATGTCGAGACTGACACTGAGGAGGACCCCAACTGTCACGAGCAACGCCTGTCAAACACAGCCACCCACCTCAGAACAGATCAAGAAGCCGTCACAGATGGCGGAAGAAACCCTGAGGAAAGCGGGACAGCCAGTCACAATGAGTAATTTAATGGTAGCTGTGACAGCGGTGATCACCATTGCTGTGAGTATTCCTTCAGCCAGGGCTGACACAGAGAACAACTGTACTTATTGGGCATATTTATCAATCTCGGCTGGCAGTAGTGCCTGGATGTAATCACTCTATGACACAGTTACACATGCTTAATAAATCTCCTATAATTGGGGCATACCACCCTCAAAAACCTATTTGTAAACAGGATTGGACCCGCTCAGAGAAAATGAACATGCTTATTTGGGAAGATTGCTTTGCAAAATAGGCAGAGGTGCTGCACAATGATTCCTATGGAATCATTATTGATTGGTCCCCTAAGGGGATGTGTAGCTTGAATTGCACATCTCAGTCTGCGTGCCCCGGCCACACTGTGTTCAGCTGGTCTGAACACAACGGTCAGATGGTAGAAATGGTAAGAAATACGGCAAGAGTTCCTATTATCTGGAACCGTGGCGATGTAGTGGCACCTCAACCTCAAATGATATGGCCCACTGTAGGAGCTAAACATAAGGATTTGTGGAAACTATTAATAGCTTTTAATAAGATCAGAATTTGGGAAAGAATAAAAAAGCATCTAGAAGGACACTCTACAGTCTTGTCTTTGGATGTTGCAAAATTAAAAGAACAAATAGTTGAAGCATCCCAGGCACACCTGACCTTACTGCCAGGAACTGGAGTGCTTGAAGGAGCTGCAGACAGATTAGCAGCTAGTAATCCATTAAAATGGATAAAACCACTTGGAAGCTCTGTGATTTCAGTGTTGATTGTGCTTTTAATCTGTGTTGTTTGTCTGTATAGTCTGCAGTTGCAGTTCCTGACGCCTGCGAGAAGTAGCTCACTGTGACAGAGCAGCCTTTGCTTTTATCGCTTTGCAAAACAAAGAAGGGGGACATGTTGGGAACAGGCCCCCCAGTGTGGCCATAAACTGGCCCCCAAACTGGCCATAAACAAAATCTCTGCAGCGCTGTGACGTGCTCGTGATGGCCATGACGCCCGCGCTGGAAGGTTGTGGGTTTACCAGAATGAGGGCAAGGAACGCCTGGCCTACCCAGGGCAGAAAACCGCTTAAGTGTTTCTTAAACCACAAACAGTAGCATGAGCGATCTGTGCCTTAAGGACATGTTCCTGCTGCAGATAACTAGCCAGACCCATCCCTTTGTTTTCCATAAGGAATACTTTTAGTAAATCTTATAGTCATAAGCTTGTTGTCAATAAATATGTGAGTAAATCTCTGTTTGAGGCTCTCAGCTCTGAAGGCTGTGAGACCCCTGATTTCCCACTCCACATGCTATTTTCTGTGTGTGTCTTTAATTCCTCTAGTGCTGCTGGGTTAGGGTCTCCCCAACCGAGTTGATCTCGGCAGTAAATATTGAAAAGGAATCAATACAATTGCTATTATTTACAGATGTAATTTCCAAAAAATTCCCAGAGAATAAACTGAAAAATTAACAGAAACAAAACAAGAATGCAGTAAGGTGTCTGGATAAGAGATTTGTATCTAAAAATCAGTAGCTTTGCGATGTGCCAGCAGTAATCTGCTCAGACATCAGTAAATATCTCATTCACATTTTAAACAAAAAATTAAAAATGCCTTGAAATAATGTAACCAGAAATACAAGAAAGGATATGAAAACGTGGCTGCTAAAGGACATGAAAGAATGTAATACTAGATTCTGAGATGCAACTTTTTTCATTTGTTCTTCCTGAAAAACCATTAGGTTGATGTGCATTGCAGTGTCATGATTATGTATGAGTCTAAGGAAAATCAGATGAAATGTCCAAATTAAACCATGAAGGTGCATTGGTAGAGGAGGAAACAATTAGGGTCAGTGGAGCAAAGCAGAGTTAGAGGGAGAAGCAAGGAGGAGGAGGGATCACGGAGGTGGTATCTGTCTGTCCCACAGGAAGCAAAAGCTGACGCCCGGTTGCCAGCACACCTACAGTAAACTTCAGGTCCACTGCATGGCACGTTTCTCGTCACAGTAAAACTATGAAGGAAGTCAGTGTACAAGAAGCTTCTACAAAATAGGCAGAAGACAGTAGCCAGATGGGCCAAGGGCCCCAGCCACCCACGCCCCTCCCTCTCACTGAAGACCTTCGGCTCCAACCCCACCATCACCAGGGCTCTGCTCAGCTCCTCCTAGTGTGTGTCACCACAGGGCTGCTGGCTTGTGTCACGTTCACCACCAGACCCCACGTCAGGAGTCCCGCCAGGGGCGTGGGGAGGCAGCGTTTCCTGCTTGGCCGCAGAGCCATGTGGAACATGGTACCTCACAGGCAGTCTGCTTGGAGTCCTGGAGCCTGGCTGTATCCCACTGGAAAGGATGTGTCTGGGTCTAAGATGTGTATGTAATAGAAACAGTATTCAGAAGCTTTAGTCAAAACTTCATTTTTAAGTTCAGAGTAATAAACTCATCTGAATTTCCTAATTTTTCTGTTTAATTTACGTAACTTTTAAATGAAATGCAAAACAACAGTTAAGTCTAAAAGTTAAGCAGTTCTTGGTGTGGCTGCTTCTATGAATTAAAAGTTTACCAATAATATTTTGTGTCACAGTCAATGCAAAATCATGCTGCCGTGTTCCGTGTGGGAAGCGTGTTGCAAGAAGGTTGTGGGAAAATCAGCAAGCTCTACGGAGACCTGAAGCACCTGAAGACGTTTGACCGGGGTGAGCAGACAGCACAGCGGGCTCTGTGCAGTGTTGGGCCCTGCCTTCTGTAGGGTGGGCTGGTGTCTGTGCCATCAGTGCTGCCTTAGTTCCATGCTTGCTGTCCGGATCCACAGCCATAAAGCCACAACCAGTGGCTCCACGGACTAGCAGGCCCAGGCTGACAGCTCAGAAGGCCCCTGTGACCGGTCCCGCCTGCCCCTGATGGAACTTTTTGTGTCCCCAGGAATGGTCTGGAACACGGACCTGGTGGAGACCCTGGAGCTGCAGAACCTGATGCTGTGTGCGCTGCAGACCATCTACGGAGCAGAGGCGCGGAAGGAGTCACGGGGCGCACACGCCAGGGAAGACTACAAGGTGCGCCTTCTCGCCACACCCACCTGCACCTGCCTTTTCCTCCCACCTGGTGGGACTCAGCCCCACCCCTGCATTTTCTCTGCATTTTATTTCATTTCCCCAAAAGTAAATCCAAAAAACGCCTTTTTCCCCCTGGTAACTCTGATCCCTGGGTTCCCGCCATCCTCTGGATCACTGTGACCTTTTCCTTGCTTTGGGTCAGCGTCCACTGATGGCAGCAGTGGCATCTCCAAGCCAATGTGCTTTGCTGTTAGAAGGCCAAGTTTAGAAGTGCAGCCAGAGTGGCATGACCAGGAAATAAATGCCAGTTTATTAAATAATGATTAAGCCACCGTTTCAGACCTGCCCTGTGGAGGAAATGCCAGTTTATTAAATAACGAGTAAGCCACCGTTTCAGACCTGCCCTGTGGAGGAAATGCCAGTTTATTAAGTAACGAGTAAGCCACCGTTTCAGACCTGCCCTGTGGCTTGGAAAAGGTGTTATAGAGCCTGCCCTGTGGTCACTTGTTCTTCAGGTGAACTGATTTTTGTGCAGAGCACACGCGTTGGATTCTGCCTGGTAAGAGTTTCTCACATACGATAGCAGAAAAACACGGAAAGGGAAGCTCGGGGCACAAATGCAGGTTCAGGATAAAGCACATCCGCGAAAGGACAAAGGCTGCACGAGGCAGGCACGCAGGCTGGTTCAGGACCGTGTGTGGGCGGCGGCTGGTGACCTTTCCAGCCCGCCGAGCGCGGTGAGTGGGAGATCATTTTTATTCACCATGAAATTTCACCGATTTACCCTCCACTGGAATATGCTGATGGCTGTGATCACTGCTCGGAACTTGCTCTTGCCTCCTTGTACATATTAAGAGTCTTTCCTGCGAAGTATATGAATCCGTGTTTGCCAGAATACAGAATAATAATAAATTTATCACTTTTATTTTTATTTTTTTGAGATGGAGTCTCTGTCCCCCAGGCTGGAATGCAATGGCGCAATCTCAGCTCACTGCAAGCTCTGCCTCCAGGGTTCAAGTGATTCTCCTGCCTCAGCCTCCCAAGCAGCTGGGATTACAGACGCACGCCACCGTGCCTGGCTAATTTTGTATTTTCAGTAGAGTTGGGTTTCACCATGTTGGCCGGGCTGGTCTTGAACTCGTGACCTCAAGTGAACCACCTACCTCAACCTCCCAAAGTGCTAGGATTACAGGCGTGAGCCACTGCGCCTGGCCAGTAGTATAAATTTAGTTGGTCACAATGAGTTTTAATTAGAATAGAAGCCAGGTGCAGTGGCTCACGCCTGTAATCCCAGCATTTGGGAGGCTGAGGCAGGCAGATCACTTGAGCCTGGAGTTCTAGACCATCCTGGGCAACATGGCGAAACCTGTCTCTACACAAAAAATTAGCCAGGCGTGGTGGTACATGCAGGAGGCTGAGGCAGGATGATTGAGCCTGGAAAGTCAAGGCTCCAGCAAGCTGTGATCACACCACTGCACTCCAGCCTGGGTGACATTGCGAGAGCCTGTCTCAAAAGAAAAAATGTTTTTAAATAAAAACAGGCTGAAAGAAAAGATTGAGGTAGTAGGTAGTCTCCCAGCGCATGCAGCAGAAAGACAAAGTATTTGGTAAACTCTTAGGTACATAAAGGGTGTCTAAGGGAACGTGCGGACACGGATTACTCTAGACTCACTGCTGGCTGCACACCCCCCGACCAGCCATGTGGCCTCCGTGGGTTCTGAACATGTTGATGGTGCCAGGGCTGAAGTGGAAATGGAATGAGTTCTAGGGCATCTGTCTCTTAGATCATTTTAATGTTTGCTGTGTTTTTTCTGTATTGCTCTGTTAGAGTAATAAGATATGTGATGGTGTTTCTGGCCTCAGGTGTGGATTGATGAGTACGATTACTCCAAGCCCATCCAGGGGCAACAGAAGAAGCCTTTTGAGGAGCACTGGAGGAAGCACACCCTGTCCTATGTGGATGTCAGCACTGGGAAGGTCAGTGTGGAGCTCGTTCTCACCACAACCCAAAATGCGCACGGCCCTGCCCAGGTTCACGGGCCGACCTTGCTGATGGTGAACGGGGAGGAGCAGGCCAGATTTAAATCAACTCCTGACAGATTTGAGGCACCACTGAAAAAGGCCTCTGACAGCAGTCAGGCTTCTGGCTGGAAACAGAATCCAGCGCCTGCAGGTGGTTCAGAGGAGCCTTAAGGAAGGGCTGCTCCGTGGTGTGGGCCAGATGGAAGTCACTGGGCAGGAGCAAGTGTCCAAGGCCTGGTGAGCGGGGAGGAGATGAGGATTATGGACTTAGGGAGAAAGTCAGCGTCTGTGGGGTGGGGACACACAGCCACTACCAGAAACCAGTCCCAAGCCAAGGGAGCCCAGAAGAGACCCCTCCCCTCTCCTCCCTTGGGCTGGCCCAGCTGGAAGCATCTGCAGGGGAGCCGAGGGGATGTGGTGCAGCGCTTAGCATCCCCTGGGCACTGAGCAAGCAGAGAAGGGAAGGGCAGAAATTGAGGAGGGGTTGGGGTGAGCAGAGGGGTTGTGGTGAGCAGCGTCCTGGGAACAGCCAGCCAAGGGTGTGGTAGGGGGGTTGCAGCCTTGTTCCACACAAGCACAGTTCACCTGTGTGGCATTTCCGCTGGGCATTAAGATTCAGAAATAATGAAGATAGAAAGCTTTTACCCTTAAGCTTTTCGTAGCTTGTAAGAGATAGTCGTATAATCACTTATCTGTGTCTGTGGAAGTTACCTGTGGACTCTCACTATCATCTAGTGTGTCTGTAACTCAGGCAGTAGGTCATTTTCAGAATTTATCATGAAGGCCATTTCCTGATCGTATATAGAAATTACACCTCACTCGCTTAGCACAAGTCTATTTTTAATGTTTCCGGGTTCGGGTTTTTTGTTTTTCTGAGACAGTCTCATCTCTGTTGCCCAGGCTGAAATGTGGTGGGTCGATCTTGTCTCACTGCAGCCTCAGCCTCCCCCTGGCTCAGGTGATCCTCCCACCTCAGCCTCCCAGGCACATGCCACCATGCCTGGCTAATTTTTGTATGTTTTGTAGAGACGGGGTTTTGCCACATTGCCTAGGCTAGTCTTGAACTCTAGTGATCCACCTGTCTTGACCTCCCCAACAGGCATGAACCAACACACTCAGCCAGTTTTAGTGATTTTTCAAGAAATACATACTCATTTCAGAAAGTACAAAGAGATTGAAATAAGAGCTCACAACCAGAGACGACCCATTATGGTTTAAATTTCTTTGTGTATGTGCCTACCTTTTCCTGTGTGTGCATTTTTAATATACAATTCCTTCTCTGAAATCCTTGGGACCAGAAGTGTTTCGGATTTCAGGCTTGTTCAGACTTTGGAATATCTGCATGATACTTACTGTCTGAGCATCCCAATCAGAAGATCTGACTCCATAGCACATTTCTTTTGAATGTCATGTTGGTGCTCAGAAAGCTTCAGATTTTGGAGAATTTCAGATTTTTGCATTAGGGATGTTCAACCTATGTAAATATTTACTTTGAACTGGAAGTAGGTAGTTTAAACATACAGTGTCTCGGTATAGACAAGGGTTCTCCCACTTTTCATGACGGGAGCATTTTTGTAAAGCACTGAGAATCTGGCACAGGGTCATTTCGTCGCTCTGTTCCACTCTAGGGATCTGCCGCCATTTACAGTCCCCTGTTGCACATGTGGAACATTGTTGAATTTGTTATCGGAAAAGACTGCGGCAAATACCTTTAAGTTCCCAGGCCGTAAATCTACTGGTTAGGGACCGCCAGTTTAAATAACCAAATACTAAAAGAACTGGCATAGAAGTAAATGGGCTGCTTCTTTATTTTTAGGCTGTTCTTTTTAGAGAACAATGACAATTATTTCCAAGTTTGTCATTAGAAAATAGTATTAGGTTGGTGCAAAAGTAATTGCAGTTTTGGCCATTACTTTCAGTGGTAAAAGCCACAATTTTGCACCAACTTAATATGATAAATTTGTTCCTTAAAGTGTATTTTTGGTAAGAAAAACCTTTTGTTTGTCCTTCTATTAATTTTTTGTTTTTTTCTTGGTAGAGACAGAGTCTTGCCATGCTGCCCAGGCTGGAGTGCAGTGGTGTGATCTCGGCTCACTACAACCTCCACCGCCCGGGCTCCAGCAATCCTCCAGCCTCCGCCTCCCAAGGAGCTGAGACTACAGGTGTGAGCCACTATGCCTGGCTAATTTTTATATTTTTTTACAGAGGTGGGGTTTCACCATCTCGCCCAGGCTGAGCTCAAACTCCTGGGCTCAAGCAGTCCTCCTGCCTCAGCCTACCAGAGTATTGGGATTATAGGTGTGAGCCACTGCCAGAAAAACTTTCCTAAGGCAAGGCAGGTTTTACATTATATTTAGATTTTTTTTTAATGATATCTTTTTTGGCAATGCACAGCTAGAGAACAACACATCACGCAGAGGAAACAGTTGTGCTTATGTGATGGGGCCTCAGCACTAGGAAGGAGTGGACTGTTGGCACATGCAGCAGCTTGAATAAATCTGAAAGTCACTATGCTGCGTAAGAGAAGCCAAATAAAAAAGTGCATGCTGTGTACAGAGGGTGTCGAGAATGCCTCCTGTGTGACAGAAAGCAGATCCGTGGTTCCTGCAGACTGGCAGGAGCAGATTCCAAAGGCACAGGAAGAAGCTTGCAGGTAGAATGTGTTCATTACCTTCTGTGCATTACACCAAAAAAAAGCTGGTAATAAAAATGCTAACCAAAAAAAAAGGTGAAACTAGGATGAAATTTCTTACCTGTGTGATTGGTAAACGTGCAGGTTTGCCATCATGCTTTGTTTATGAAACTGTGGGGTACAAGGACTCTCATACCTCACTGTGGAATGCAGAACGTTGCAGCCTCGTGGAAGAGGATTTGGCAGCATCTAACAAAACTATGTGGCATTTGCCGTTTGACTCAGCAATTCTAGAATCTGCCTCAAAAAAACTCTGGCAAAGAAATGAAAGGACTTTACGCACAGAGTTCTTTTCACAGTCTGAATGTGTTTACAACAAACTTCTTCACTGTGGCGTTTGTAAACGTAGGGAAAAGAAAGAGAGATCAAACTGTCACTGTGTCTACGTAGAAAAGGAAGACATAAGAACTCCATTCTGATCTGTACCCTGAACAATTGTTTTGCCCTGAGATGCTGTTATTCTGTAACTTTGCCCCAACCTTGAGCTCACAGGAACATGTGTTGTATGGAATCAAGGTTTAAGGATCTAGGGCTGTGCAGGATGTGCCTTGTGAACAATATGTTTACAGGCAGTGTGCTTGGCAAAAGTCATCGCCATTCTCCATTCTCGATAAACCAGGGGCACAGTGCACTGCGGAAAGCTGCAGGGACCTCTGCCCTGGAAAGCTGGGTATCGTCCACGGCTTCTCCCCACTGAGATAGCCTGAGATATGGCCTCGTGGGATGGGAAAGGCCTGACCGTCCCCCAACCTGACACCCGTGGAGGGTCTATGCTGAGGAGGATTAGTAAAAGAGGAAGGCCTCTCTCCTGCCTGCCTCTGGGAACGGAATGTCTTGGTATAAAACCTGATTGTACATCTGTTCAGTTCTGAGATTAAAAAACCACCCTGTGGCGGGAGGTGAGACATGTTGGCAGCAAGGCTGCTCTGTTACTCTTTACTCCACTGAGATACTTGGGTGGAGAGAAGCATAAATCTGGCCTATGTGCACATCCAGGCATAGTACCTTCCCTTGAACTTATTTGTGACACAGATTCCTTTGCTCACATGTTTTCTTGCTGACCTTCTCCCCACTGTCACCCTGCTCTCCTGCTGCGTTCCTCTTGCTGAGATAGTGAAAATAGTAATCAATAAATACTGAGGGAACTCAGAGACCGGGGCCGGTGCGGGTCCCCCGTACACTGAGTGCCGGTCCCCTGGGCTCACTGTTCTTTCTCTATACTTTGTCTCTGTGTCTTATTTCTTTTCTCAGTCTCTCATCCCGCCTGATGAGAAATACCCACAGGCGTGGAGGGGCTGTCTCCCTTCATTCTATAGTTATTATAAATGTACAGGAACGTTAAAAGGAACATGCTTGTATAACACCACTCAGTAGCCCAGGAAATGACCAATCTGATGTGTGTTAAATTCCATCCAAGCCCCCTGCAACCACCATTTTTAAAATAAAATTAAAAACTGGTCCTTTCCTTGGTGATACAAGTAAAATAATAACTAGAACAGAAGAAAAAGAAATTCCCAAACAAGTAACTTTAAAATTTGATATTTGTGCAGCCATTAATGGTAACAAGCTAGAATTAAAATGTAGTTCCCTTAACTAGGAAAAGAGCTACACAGTAAAAAATAAATATGTTTGTCATAAGTTAAGGGTCTGTGAAAATTGTGCCTATTGGCCATGTGTTATTTAGGCTACTTAAAAACAGGACAAAAAGGACCCAGTTCACCTTCAAAAAGGGGCAACCAATCTCTCCTAGATCCCGGTCCCCGTAACCCACCAAACGAATAATCTCTAACGCCCTAGATCCCGGTCCCTGTAACCCACCAAACGAATAATCTCTAACGCCCTAGATCCCGGTCCCCGTAAACGAATAATCTCTAACCCCCTAGATCCCGGTCCCCGTAACCCACCAAACGAGTAATCTCTAACCCCCTAGATCCCGGTCCCCGTAACCCACCAAACGAGTAATCTCTAACCCCCTAGATCCCGGTCCCCGTAACCCACCAAATGAGTAATCTCTAACCCCCTAGATCCCGGTCCCTGTAACCCCCAAACGAGTAATCTCTAACCCCCTAGATCCCAATCCCCGTAACCCACCAAACGAATAATCTCTAACCCCCTAGATCCCGGTTCCCGTAACCCCCCAAACGAGTAATCTCTAACCCCCTAGATCCCGGTCCCCGTAACCCCCAAACGAGTAACCTCTAACCCCCTAGATCCCGGTCCCCGTAACCCCCCAAACGAGTAATCTCTAACCCCCTAGATCCCGGTCCCCGTAACCCCCAAACGAGTAATCTCTAACCCCCTAGATCCCGGTCCCCGTACCCACCAAACGAGTAATCTCTAACCCCCTAGATCCCGGTCCCCGTAACCCACCAAACGAGTAATCTCTAACCACCTAGATCCCGGTCCCCGTAACCCCCCAAACGAGTAATCTGTAACCCCCTAGATCCCGGTCCCTCTGATCCACCAAACGAGTAATCTCTAACCCCCTAGATCCCGGTCCCCGTAACCCACCAAACGAGTAATCTCTAACCCCCTAGATCCCGGTCCCCGTAACCCACCAAACGAGTAATCTCTAACCCCCTAGATCCCGGTCCCCGTAACCCACCAAACGAGTAATCTCTAACCCCCTAGATCCCGGTCCCTCTGATCCACCAAACGAGTAATCTCTAACCCCCTAGATCCCGGTCCCTCTGACCCACCAAACGAATAATCTTTAATCCCCTAGATTCCAGTCCCTGTAATCCACCAAACGAATAATCTCTAACCCCCTAGACCCCCATTGGAAGAATGGAGAACATGCAGCCCTGGGGATCGATGGGACAGGGCTAAACCCCCAAGATGCTATTTTAGTCCGAGGGGAGGTCCACAGATGCTGTCCCAAGCCAGTGTTTCAAGCCTTTTATGACGAGCTGAATCGGCCAGCACCAAAGCTTCCAAAAAAGACAGAGCCACACACACCTTGCATCACCCAGGTGGGGAAAATGAGCTGGGCTGTGGGTGCTGGGAAAGCCATGCCTGCAGTCCCCTTCAGAGTCAGGCTGCACTGCCCAGGGAGCCTGAGAGAAAGGTGGAGAGGCCTCCTGAACGGGGCTCTGGGCATCACAACAGTTGGTGCCTTCTGGGCAGGATGCGCAGGGTCTGCACCGCCAACTCCAGGGAGGTGGCCCGCTGACTGAGTTGGTGCTCATGGTTCTTGGTCCCATCCCACACAGCAAGACACAGACAAACTGCCCAGCCACACAAACCAGTGAGCGAGAGGAATTCCCCAAATTGTGTGTCTGGAGGCCAGGTGCATCTAAAATCCTGACCCCATGCCCCCCACAGCCTACCCTGAGGTGGGTCCCGGCACATGGTTGCTGCCTCCAGGACGGGGGACGTGGGCCCACAGTGTGGGCCGCCCCTCGCCATCCACCGGGGCTGCCCATGGCCATGGGTGTGGCACTCTCGGGGCCCAGTATGCAGCAATGGAGGCCACAATGATGGGAATCTCCAGGGTGGTCTGGCAGGCGCCCAGGCCTTCCCTGGCTCCAGCCCATCGTCTGGCCAGTTATGTTCCCCAGGGGCCATCCGATGCCTCTGGCACTCTCCGTGCTGGCTGGGAAGACCAGTGTCGGCCACTTGGCCGTGGGCAGCCTCCTTCTGGCACTAGCATGTGTCCCTCCTTCTGTCCTCGCTCTGCCTGCCACGTCTGCTCAGCCACATGGCACCGGGGTGTCCTCACCTGTCCAGCCTCCCAACCTGGTGAGCCTCAAGGGCATAGAGCTCTGCCCACCAGGCTGACATACCCCGAAGGGGGACTGGACTGGACTCAGGAAAGCCCCGGCTCATGGCAACCTTGTCCACCTGGGCTGCTCGGCCTGGGTGAGTCCTTACTGGGGAGAGGGCTCCTCTGCCCTCCAGCTGATAGGTGTGTGCTGGGGGACACAGGTCAGGAAGCAAAAGCAGAGAAACCAGGGAGGGGGCGTGAGGTGTGGAAGCGAAGAGGGGTCCTCCCCTGGCCAGTGTGTGTAGCCAGCTGCCCCTCCCACCCCAAAGCCATGCCCAGGAGCAGCCCCCCACTGTGTGTCCAGGGAGCAGGACGCTGACCCCACTTCACCTTCCCCTTAATCCAGCTGTGACCCTGCTCCACGCCGGGATGCGCTGGGATGGCTTGGGGGTAGCACCCTGCACAGCGGCTCTGGCTCTAAGCTGCACAATCGGATGTCCTGCACAGTCACCTGCTGATCCAGCACAAGCCTGTGAAGGTCACTCCTCTGGGCGTGAGTCGCCACCCTGCACCCTGCAGGACAGGTAACTTGGGGAGGGCTCACGTTATCTTATTTAACAAAAGCATTGCCCAGAGCATGGTATGATAAATGCCTGGCAGGATGGAGGGCGCCTCCCACAGAACTTTCACCAGGTGGAGGAAGGCAGGATGCCCATGGGGCGATGTTGGATGGAACCCCCAGCTGCCAGCTCTGGGAGGGGTGAGAAGGCCTTGGGCTCCTCTTCCAGGTAGCCCCACTCAGAGCCTTGGACAGAGGGCGGCGCTGCATGGACTGCCAGAGCCAGACTGGGAGCAAGAGGGCCGGAGGGAGGCAAGATGCAAAGTAAAGCCTGGAAATCCAGACGACACCGGGAACCGCCTGCACTCTCTGAGGTTCACCAGCACCCAGACCCGCCTGTGGATGGACTCACCCTTGTCCTCTGGGTCCCGCCTGTGCCCAGGACTCCCAGGACCTCGGAGGTATACTCTAGGCGTGATCTTCATTCTTCTGCAGAACTGTTCGCCTTAATTTGCTGGAGATTGTCTTAAAGCATGGCCTCTATCCATCCACAGATTTAGCGGAATTGATTAAAATAAACAACACTTGGCCGGGTGCGGTGGCTCAAGCCTGTAATCCCAGCACTTTGGGAGGCCGAGACGGGAGGATCACTAGGTCAGGAGATCGAGACCATCCTGGCTAACACAGTGAAACCCCTTCCCTACTAAAAAATACAAAAAACTGGCCGGGCGCGGTGGCTCAAGCCTGTAATCCCAGCACTTTGGGAGGCCGAGACGGGCGGATCACAAGGTCAGGAGATCGAGACCAGCCTGGCTAATACGGTGAAACCCCGTCTCTACTAAAAAATACAAAAAAAAAAAAAACTAGCCGGGTGAGGTGGCGGGCGCCTGTAGTCCCAGCTACTCGGGAGGCTGAGGCAGGAGAATGGCGTAGACCCGGGAGGCGGAGCTTGCAGTGAGCTGAGATGCGGCCACTTGCACTCCAGCCTGGGGACAGAGCGAGACTCCGTCTCAAAAAAAAAAACAAAAACAAAAAAACAAAAAACTAGCCAGGCGAGGTGGCGGGCGCCTGTAGTCCCAGCTACTCGGGAGGCTGAGGCAGGAGAATGGCCTGAACCCGGGAGGCGGAGCTTGCAGTGAGCTGAGATCCAGCCACTGCACTCCAGCCTGGGCGACAGAGCCAGACTCCGTCTCAAAAAATAAAATAAAATAAATAAATAAACAGCACTTTCATGTCGTCCTTTTAGGGATTTCTTCAAAGCACTGTGTTGATTTTATAATTCACCTGCTGGGGAGAGTTGCTTAAGGGATATTCTGAAATGAACAAACAGCCACAGTCGCCTGTGAAGAGCCACACGTCGCCCGTCCCATCCCAGCTCCGAGCCTCTGCGAGGTTCTCCCCTGCCTGCTGAGCTCCCTCCCTTGTGACACTGGGGGTGACCCCTCCTCCCATGCTGCAGGGGCCTCCAGATCCCAAGGGCAGGCCTAACTCCCTGAGAAACTCAGGGACCAGTGGCCACTGTCTCCTTGGAGACAAGGGTTTGTCGAGAAAATGTGGTGGGCAGGATGGGCTGGATCTGAGACAGGCGTCCAGGTGCCGGGGTCACAAGCCAGTCAGCCCTAGCAGCAGGCGGTCACTGCAACACATCAAGGCTCTTGGGACTTCGAGTGTGGCCCCTGGGAAAGGAACCAAATGGGCCGACTCAGTGTGGCCCCTGGAAAAGGGACTGAATGGGCTGACTCATGTCTGAGATGCCAGTCAGCCTCTCTCAACCTCGCCCCTCGCTGGGAGGCCAGACACTGGGCCAGGACCCAGAGGGTGGAAAGTCACAGCCCAGAGGATGGGGGAGAAGTAAGGACAATGGAGGGGAGGGGAGGAGGATGGGGGTTGCAGTTGGGGGGAAGGTGAGGAGGACATAGGGGAGGTGAGGTGAAGACGGGGGGAGGTGAGGAGGACATGGGGAGGTGAGGAGGATGGGAGGAGGTGAGTAGGACAGGGGGCGCAGTGAGGGGGAAGGTGAGGAGAATGGGGGGAGGTGAGGACATGGAGGGGAGGAGGACGGGGGCACGGTGAAGGGGAAGGTGACATGGGGGAGGTGAGGAGGACATAGGGGAGGTGAGGAGGACATAGGGGAGGTGAGGAGGATGGGGGGAGGTGAGGAGGATGAGGGGAGGTGAGGAGGACAGGGAAGGTGAGGAAGACAGAGAGAGGTGAGGAGGACATAGGGGAGGTGAGGACGATGGAGGGGAGGTGAGGAGGACATAGGGAAGGTAAGGAGGAGGGGTGAGGTGAGGACATAGGGGAGGCGAGGAGGACGGGGGGAGGTGAGGATGGGTGGAGATGAGGAGGACGGGGGGAGGTGTGGAGGAGAATCTCAGATGCCGGTGGATCAGGGTTCCTGTCACCAGGTGAGTGCCTGCAGCTGCCCTGGCTCGTGGCTTCTGTGGCCTGCAGGGTCTGCTGCTTTCTGGCATTTGTGGGTGCCTTTAGCCTTGTCCACAGGAGGAGGCTGCTTCTGCAGAGCAGGGCCCCCGACAGGCCTTAGCAAACCCCTGAGGACCTTGGACTTGAGGACCCTCCACAAGGAAAGGTGGGGGGCAGGGCTGGCCAGAGGGGCTCTTTGTGTAGCTCTTGCTGGGGGTGCCAGGCCCTCAACTGGATGTGAGAAGGCGGCCCCGGGGCACAGCTGGGATGGCCATGCTGGAGCCGGCTCCAAGTCCCCTCCGCCTTCGGGGACAGAGGACACAGTGCAGAGGCCTGGCCTTGAATCCATGTGGCTTTTCTACAGGCTGTGGGTGAAGACCACCCAAGGATTCTGGGTGAGCTCCAGACCGTGAGCTTCCGGTGGCTGAGGGGGGCAGCAGCGGCGGCCACATCTCAGGAGCCCGTCTAGGGCCTGTCCTCTCTGGTGGGTGAGGGGGGCAGCGGCGGCCACATCTCAGGAGCCCGTCTAGGGCCTGTCCTCCAGAAAAGCAGGGGCAGAGACACGAGGCAGCAGCCCCCGGAGACCTCCCGCACGTGGCCAGCCAGCAGGCGGGGCCGCATCAGCCTCCTGACGGGAGGAGTCCCAGATGCAGCCTCAGTTCCTGGGCCCTGGAAGCTGCCTGCATGGGCTGGCAGCCGCTTGACCAGGCTCAGCCAGGGAGGCATTTCCAGAAAGCCTCCTTCTCGTCCCGAGAGCTGCCTGTGTTCTGTGCTCACCGGGCCTGCGGTCGGCACAGAGTGTGGTTTAGGGCCGCTGCTCTAGGGGCTGGGGAGGGTGAAACCTGCATGACCAGTGGCACGATGCATCCTGCTACCTCCGGAGACTCCTTAAAGCGTGGTGATGGCCGAGCACGTGGAGGCCCTGAAGCAACCCAGCCCATTCTGGGCGAGGAGGGGAACTGAACTCCCCGGGAGCGAGAAGTCCTGGGGCTGAGGCTGAGCTGAGTGGAGTCTGGAGCAGAGAGGATTCAGGGCGTAAGTTCAATGTGAGGTTTTTAATTTTCAAGGGTAGGAGTTTGTGTGTATGAATGTTGCTGTGGTCTGAGTGGTCCCCTGAAATCCATGTGTTGGAACCTTAATACCCAGTACAACAGTGTTGCGGGTGGGGCCTTTGGGAGGAGCTTAGGTCATGCAGGTGGAGGGTGGATTAAGGCTGGTGCCTTGATATGGGACTTCCCAGCCCCCAGAACTGTGCAAGAAAAAAACCTGTTCTTCATCAATTACCCAGCAAGAAGCATTTCATTACAGCAGCACAAGCAGATTAACACACATGTATTGCTGGGGGAGGGGGGGGGGTGTGTGCATGTATACCACATTCCTTGTGAAAAGAAAGATATTTTCCCAAACACAGAATGACTCAGTGCCCAGCCATGTTCCTGGAGCCTTGGCCGCTCCTCTGTGTGAACTGTGCTCAGTGGGCCAGTGTCATGACCTGGAAAAGCTGCAACCCGAGAAAGGGAGCCAGCCCTGCCGTTCCCCATCATGCTGAGTGAGCTGCTGCAAACTTGCCTCAGACTCACCCTGGATCCTCTGAAACAAGGACCTTCTGTCCCCAGGACCTCTGTCCCAGGCTCTCTGTGCACCCAGGATCCACCCAGACCACAGGAGCTGACAGTTGAGGCCGCGTGCAGGACACCAGGGAAGATGAGGGGCCTCTCTGACTTCCTCCTCCTCCTCTTCCTCCTCTGCCAGCTCCAGGTCTGTCCACCACCTTTCCCTTATCCCCACATTGCTGCAACCTCACCCTTCCCTCCACATTCTTATTATCCAAGAGAGCAAGTAAAGCACAGTATTTAGTTGAGTTTGTTTTTCATTGAGATAAATTGGCGTGTAACAAAACTAAGAATAAAATCTAATTAGTGATAATCCATTAATCAGGCTAACATGTAATCTGGATTAGGGAACATTGTATCTTTGTCTGCATCTTTGAAACAGACGACTTTCATGCATATCTATCAGTGAGAAAACCAGACGCCAATGTTTTTGCGATGCTGTAGTGACTGACTGTACAAGACTCATTTACAATGAACACAGTAACTGAGAATGGAACGTTAGTGAATAAGATTTCTTTTCCATAAATGAAGATGTCTTAAAATCCTGTTACCCTGAAAGTTGACTCACTGAATTCGCATTTCATGGATCCAGAAAACGCCATGCCAGTGTGGCAGGACGAGCCACAAACAAAACTCCTCAGACACCGGCTTAAAGAAGGAAGAGGTTTATTCGGCCGGGAGCGTCAGCAGACTTGCGTCTTAAGAGCCGAGCTCCCTGAAAAAGAAATTCTTGGCCTTTTTAAAGCCTTACAACTCTGAGGGGTCCATGTGAAAAGGTTGCGATAAATGAGCAGGCGTGGGGAACGTGACTAGGGGCTACATGTGCTTTTTCATACGATGTCTGGAATTTACAGATAACACAAGTAGTTTTAGTCAGGGGTTGATGTTATTATTATTTTTTAACTCCTAGGGCCAGGTGGTGGTGCCAAGGTTGTCTGGTTACTTATCTTACTTTTGTTTCTTTCTGACTTTTTGCTTTCTCTCTTTCCTCCTGTCTTGTGAACTAGGCAAGGTGGGGGGAGGAGGGCAGTAGGAGTAGTAGTGGTCTCCTTCCTTACCAGGTGGACTCCTTCTGAACCTCAGCAGTGGTGACTGGTGGTTTCTGTAATGAAATTTCAGTTCGACCCTCATCTGAGATGAGCGAGTGTCTGAGATGAGCGAGTGTCTGGTAACACAAAGCTCAGGAACTGCGCACGATCCCTCACGAAAGCTTGTGTCCAGTTCCCATCTGGTGCCAGCCCACTCGAAGGGCAGCTAACTGTCACTAGGAAAGTCCTGTGGGCAGTAAGTGTTACGTAAGACGTGGATTTGGTGAAGCCAGGCCCATCACATGATGAAAGCTTGTTAGGGTGGGTTTATCTGTCAGATTCCAGATTCATACATAGAAAAGGAGGAGACGTTTATATCTTCAGCCATTATAAAGAGTAATTCTTATATGTAATTCTTTAAAATTTTGGCTATGTATATAATTTAGAGATCTACATGTAGCTCTGTGTAATCAATATTGCGTATCTAATATATACTACATAGATATAAATATTATATAAATTATATAGATCTATGTATTTAAAATGTAGATCTGTAGAGTGCACTACAGGCGTGCTTTGTTTTGTGGTGTTTTGCTTGATTTTGCTCCATGGATGTTGCTTTTTTTTTTTTTTTTTTTTTTTTGAGACGGAGTCTCGCTCTGTCTCCTGGCCTGGAGTGCAGTGGCCAGATCTCAGCTCACTGCAAGCTCTGCCTCCCAGGTTCATGCCATTCTCCTGCCTCAGCCTCCCGAGTAGCTGGGACTACAGGCGCCGCCACCTCACCCGGCTATTTTTTTTTTTTATTTTTTAGCAGAGACGGGGTTTCACCATGTTCGCCAGGATGGTCTCGATCTCCTGACCTCGTGATCCACCCGTCTCGGCCTCCCAAAGTGCTGGGATTACAGGCTTGAGCCACCGCGCCCGGCCTGGATGTTGCTTTTTCTACAAATCGCAGGTTTGTGGCAACCCGCGTGGACCAATTCCATGGGCGCCGTTTTCCCAGCAGCATGTGCTGCCTTCATGGCTCTGGGTCACATTTTGGTGATTCTTGCCACATTTCAAACGTTTTCATTATTATTATCTATGTAGTGGCAATCTGTGATCGGGGGTCTTCAGTGTACCAGTGTAATTGTTTGGGGTGCTATGAACTGCACCCATACAAGACACAAACTTAATAAATGTTTGGTGTGTCCTGACTGCCCGCCATCAGCCGTTCCCCCACCTCTCTCCCTCTTCCCAAGCTTTCCTGTTCCCTGACACACAACAATACTGAGATTAACCCAGTTAGTAACCCTACCGTGACTGCAGAGTGCTCAGGTAAAAGGAAAAGCCACCACATCTCACTTTCAATCAAAACCCAGAAAAGATTAAACTTAGCATAAGGCATGTTGAAAGCTGCGACAGGCTGAAAGCTAAGTGAGGCTTGCACCAGTGAGACAAGTAGCAAAGACAAAGGCAAAGTTCTTAAGGGAGGTCACAAGTGCTGTTCTAGAGAGTGCATGGATGATGGGAAGTGAACCAGCCTTGTTGCTAATACGAGAAAGCTTTTGTGTTCTGGATAGACAATCAAAACAGCAACACCATTCCCTTAAGCCAAACCCTGGTCCGGAGCAGGGCCCTAACTTTCTTCAGTTCTGTGAAGGCTGAGAGAGGTGAGGAAGCTGCAGAGGAAGAGTGGAAGCTGGCAGCGGTGGGTGTGTGACGTTTAAGGAAAGAAGCAGTCTCCGGCCGGGCGCGGTGGCTGACGCCTGTAATCCCAGCACTTTGGGAGGCCGAGATGGGCAGATCACGAGGTCAGGAGATCGAGACCATCCTGACTAACACGGTGAAACCCCGTCTCTACTAAAAATACAAAAATTAGCCGGGCGAGGTGGCGGGCGCCTGTAGTCCCAGCCACACGGGAGCTGAGGCAGGAGAATGGCGTGAACCTGGGAGGCGGAGCTTGCAGTAAGTGGAGATCGCACCACTGCACTCCAGCCTGGGAGAGAGAGCGAGACTCCGTCTCAAAAAAAAAAAAAAAAAAAAAAGAAGCGGTCTCCATAACATAAAAACGCAAGGTGACGCGGCAGGTGCCGATGGAGAAGCTGCAGCAAGTTACCTTCCGCAGCCAGAAGATCTGGCTAAGATCATTGATGAAGGTGGCTGCGCTTAACAACAGATTTTCAATGTAGATGGAACAGCCTTCTGTTGGAAGAAGACGCCATCTAGGACTTTCCTAGCTAGAGAGGAGAAGTCAGTGCCTGGCTTCAGAGTTTCAAAGGACAGGCTGATGCTCTTGTTAGGAGCTGGTGCAGTGGTGACTTTGACTAGAATCCGATGCTTATGGACCATTCTGAACATCCCAGGGCCCCTAAAATCATGCTCAGTCTACTCTGCCTTGCTCTACAGATGCAATGAGAAAACCTGGATGTCAGCAAGTCTATTTACAGCATGATTTACTGACTGTGTTAAGCCCACTCTTGAGAACTACTGCTCAGAAAAAAAGATTCCTTTCAAAATATTACTGCTCACCGACAATGCACCTGGTCACCCAAGAGCTCTAATAGAAATGAACAAGGAGATAAATGTTGTTTCCATGCCTGCTAACACAACACCCATTGCACAGCCCAAGAACTCGTTTCAACTTTCAAGCCCTATAATTTAAGAAATACATTTTCTAAGACTGTATCTGCCATAGTTAGTGATTCCTCTGATGGATTTGGGGAAAGTAAATTGTAAACCTTCTGGAAAGGATTCACTATTCTAGATGCCACTAAGAACATTCATGATTCATGGGAGGAGGTCAAAGTGTCAACATGAACAGGCGTTTGGAAGAGGTTCAGTCCCATCCTCATGGATGACTTTGAGGGATTCCAGCCTTCCGTGAAGGAAGTCACTGCAGATGTGATAGGAGTAGACGTGAGACCAATTACTGCTGAAACGCTTGGGATATGCTCCTTTTGTCTGAGAAAGTGGCTTGTTCTTGGGTGTAGCAAAGCACACACTTGGAGAGACATTTCCCCATGGCAGCTGGCATTTATTACACCGATCAGGAGCCATGCTTCGGGCGCCAGTGCAGCAACAAGGCAGCGTGCTGGCCACGCCAACTCCCTCCCACGTCACAGGGCCAATGGCTTCTGTGCCCCGGCACTCAGACATGCCCACATGACCGCTCCTGCCTGGGAGGATAGGGCAAGGATGCCACGCTCCCTGGCACTCTCTGCCACCCCACCACGCCCCCACTTGTCTGCTGAGCCCCCAGCTCTGTCATCCACAGCTGGACACAGGGACCCAGCCAGGGACTCCAAGGGGCCCCTAGAGGAAGGCAGCATCTCAAGGCAGAGTCAGGCCCTGGGGAGAAACACACTTTTACCATCCATGGCCACAGAGCTCCTGGCTGTGAGTGAAACAGCACCTGGCCCTGGTGCACGCACGTGGGGCACGCAGAAACCCGCACACAGGGAATTCACCGAATTCTCACCCACGCGGTGGGCTGGGCCCTGCTCACCCCAGGTAAAAACCACAGGACCTGAGCTGACAGGGGAGTGCAGTGTGGGCTTCACCCGAGGGGGAGGCACAGAGGTTTCAACAACTCAGGGAGGTGGGCGTGCCCGGAAATGCACTGGGAACAACCTCGCCAGGAGTCGGAGGAGCTTCCCCGTTACCAGCCTGGCCACAGCTCCACGCCCGGGCTCTCTGCCATTTGCCAACTGTAAGTGGCCTCTGCCCACCTGAGCAGTTCATGAGAAACAGGAAAATCATTTCCAGAAACAAGTTTAGAGTCAAACAGTTACCCAGAGTTCAACATTTCAAGAAGTCGAACCTTCTACGTCACACTTTTTTTTTTTTATGAAAGCAATGCGTGCTAACCCCACAAAACTGGAAGAGGCAGCGAGAGAAAGGAAGAAGCTGAAAACCATGGCCACCGGCCTTCTGGGGCTTTCCTCCGTGTTTGCGTCTCCTCGGGGTTGAGGTCGCACAGTTCTGCGTCCTTCATTGTCACCTGGTATTTTCTTAAGACGATTCCATGTCATAAAAGTGCTGCAGATGCATAATTTAAAGGACTGTATTGTATCGTATCGGTTTTTCATCCACTTATTCCGATGCCCCCCGCCCGGTGGACCTGTTCTCACTCTGCCAGCACCTTCACAGCGCCGTTCCCTCTGCCGCCTCCACCATGCAAAGCCCTCCTCACCCTGTAGCCCCCCATGAGGGAAGCTCTGTCCGTCAGCAGCCAGCACTCCCATGGGGATTCCTGCAGGAGAAACCTGAGGGCGAGGGGCGAGGCGAGCAGTACCAGGCGTCAGGAGGGGTCCCTGTCAGCCGGTGCCCGGGGCCTCTGGGCGGTGACCCGCACCCCAGTGCTGGTCCCGGGGAGGCCAGGGTGGCCGTCGCACCCACCACTGTCAGTCACTGGCTCTGGGTCACCCACAGGCTGGGCTCGTGACCTCCCAGGCATCTCCCAAAGAGGCACACAGCCTCCTCAGCCTGGCACAGGGGTGCAGGCCTGGACAGGGCATCTGGGAGGCACCCATCCTCCTCAAGCCCTGT